AGATACACAAATAACGTTAGTGGCGAAAAGCAACCAGGTAGAGGAACAGAGGCAAGCACGGTGCTGACACAAACGAAAGGAGAGAAGCAATGCCAGCGTGGGACAGGGGAGAGTGGGCACGCGAAGAGCATCCAGTATTTTTCTTTGCGCTATCCCTCCTTAGTCGTAGCTGTTTGCTGCGGCGCCTGCACAGGTGGCGTCAGTTGTCAGCGGAGGAGAAGAGAAGCTTTCAATCGCGAGCCCGCGCAGCAAATGAAGCGTGGAAGAAGCAGCAGTTGGAGCAAGGGCAGCAACAGCAACAGCAGCAGCAGACGCAGCAAAAAAACAAGCAGAACCCACGTCCACAAGTTACTCCACCTGTTGCTGTGCAGCACCAGCAACCGCAGGTACAACCACAGAAGCAGCAACAGCAGCGTTTCTGCCAGGCTCCGCGGCTAAATAGGCTACAGACCCCGGCACAGCATCAGCAACAGCAGGGTTCTGTTTCCCCGCAACAGCTACAGGTAGCAGGAGCGCAGCCACAGCATCAGAGTGCGCCGGTACAACCGCAACTGCAGCAGCAGCAAGTTTTGCAGCAGTCATCGCAGGCGCTGTTACAGGGCTTACCAGCTGGCCAGCATCAGCGGCCTCCACAGCAACAGCAGCAGCAGCAGTGGCTGATGCATTCCACCAACTCTCCTACAGCAGTGCTACGGAGCTGTCTATCGCCGGATGGCACAGCTGTTTCCAATGCGTTGCCTGGTGTTTGTGGCCCTCTGGTCCCGCCGTTGCAGCAACACCCCCAGCAGCAGCCTCTACTGCTACCGCAGCACTTGCAAACGCACAATATGGTCAGCCCAGAAGTGGGGTGGCAGCAGCCGCATGGACTGCAACCGTCTCCAGCACATCGACAAGAGTCAGGTCAACTGCAACTTCTGATGCAGCAGCCGCAGCAACACCAGAGCGCCACATCTCGTCCCTTACGCGCTTCCCACTCGCCCGCTGCTGCTGCATTTTCTGCTGCAGCACGGCAATTGAATAAGGAGGTCGAGTTCAATTCAGATATCCCAGTCGCTTCCCCACAACAGCAGCGTTACTTGCCTTCACAGCAGCAGCAGAACCAGCAGCTGCACGTAAGCATATCCTCTGGAGTTCCTCAGCACTGGTCTTCAACAGATGCAGCTGCGCCATCGCCGGCCCCCCCTTCTTTTGCTTCTGTGCAGCAGCATGGTGCTTCTCCAGGAAGGTTATCTAAAACTAGGTGTCACCACGATTCGCCTGCTAGCCGTGCTTTTGCAGCAGCAGCTGGGCGGTCAGAGGGCCACACGGCCAGCGGCACCGAGAGTGATGCTGGAAGCGCAACAGAAGGAGAGCAACGGCGCGGCCGTGAATTGCTTGTTGGTGCAGCATCTAATAATGAGGCCTGCAGCAGTGGCGGCAACAGCAGCGGCAGCGTCATGGGGGGTGAACCCTCTATGACTGAAATTGCTGCTGCTGCCATCACTGCGGCAGACGAGGCGGAAGCTGCAGCGGCTGCAGCTGCTAGGCAGGTTTTTCTTGCAGCTTCGGAAGATGATGACGTATGGGAGCTCCAGAAGCGGCAGCATGAGCAGATAGTGCAGCAGCAGCAGCAGCAGCAGGAGGTAATCGCCCAGACACGGCAGCAACAGCTGCGCTTGCATTTGGAAGCTGAGAAGGGCACAAAAGATAGCAACAGCGGGACCAAAGGCACTGACCAGCAGCCTCGGCTTCGTCGTCCTCGGGCCTTAACGGCGGCAAAGCAAACAGCAGCTCGCAGATCCCGAGTACAGCGTGACTGTGAAGGTAGCAGCAGCAGAGAGACAAGCATCAGCGGCAATAACAGCGACAGCAGCAGCAGCACTGAAAGGAGTCGAAGCAGCGAGGGCAGCAGTCACAGCGGTGAGTCAGGGAAGTGTTCAGGTCAAGTCTCTGACGCTCTGTTAGGGGCTTTCCTTGTTCTTTAGCCTCGCATGTGGCTTCACTTGCCTTTGTACTGACGGCTAAGTCATTCTAACTGCGTTGCTTGCCACAGCAGAAAGCAGCGACGAGGAATTTTCCCCCACGCGAGGGCTACATAACACTTGTAAGCGCCTCCGTAAAGGAGCTCCCGCTACAGTTGAGAAGCATCATGGGAGGGGCGTCGCTGCATTGAAAGGCCGTAACAATATGACGACGCAGCGGAAACCTCGCACAGGTAGACGTAACCGCGACCCCGGGAGCTCAACCCCATCTACTCTTGCGACGAATGTTTCGGCGGCAGACTCCGCAGTTCAGGAGGCAGGCGCTGGGAAGAGTACGCTGTTGTTGCTTCTGCTGCTCTTGCTGCTGCCGCAGCTTTTGTTGCCTTGGTTCCGCTACTGAATTTGTGTATGGTCTGTGGTGCTGGTGCCTCTACAGAGCCAGTCACGCTTTGGGACCTTGTGAAGCGGAATCTTCGCAGGAAGACTGCAGCAGGTGCAGCGGCTAGACGGAGCGCAGGCACTGGGACAGCAACAGGCGTGAGTTGCAACCCCTCACGTGCAGACTATCCTTTTCATCGTCCCTGGAGGACTCTTGCCAAACACGCATGTCGGATCTCATTGCTGTTTTGGGTCAGTCGCTTTGTTACTTCCTACGATGCAGACAGCGGAGTCCCCGGTTGACCAAACGGAGGATCCGTTCGCGTTGCTTTTAACCCCTAGCCCGCAGCAGCACCAGCTGAAACAGCAGAAACAAGTCGCGGGTTTGGCGTCGACTACAAATGTAGATGGGTCGGATCTTCAGGGTCTCTTCGAAGCTCCTGCTGGCGACAGCGGTGCGGTGTTTTAGGCCCCTGGTCCTTGCTCCTTTTGTGACATGCTCTGTCATCATCAACTGTCTGCTCGGCTTCGCTTCCGTCCCTTAAAGATACCTACAACCTGCTGCTGCTGCACGTGATTTGCAGGTGTAGATTCATTGCGCCTGGACTCAGACGGTAACTTGGTGGTTGCAGATGGGCCCAAAGAGGTATTCTGCTGCAGGTAAATCACGTTGCGAGGGCCACAGCCGATATGGCAGCAGCAGCGATACCAGCAGCGTTGATATGCGTAAGAGCTGTTCTGTGGGGCTGGACAGATGTCTGGGCATGTCGGGTTTGCTGGGAGGAGGCTGCATGTGCACAAGCGGGCAGCAGAGACGCGTTCTTGAAGAAGACTTGACTTCTAGAGGAGCGTTTGCGTTACAGGTTGGTCTTTGTTGCTGTTGAGGTCTTGCTTCTGAAGCGAGGCGCAGCTGCGACCTGCTGTTGTGTAGTGATTGTGCTTGTATTATTCTAATCCATGTGCATTTGCTACTGCAGCCATACGAAGGAGCATACAAGAAGACAAAGGGAAAGCGCTGGACCGAGGAGGAAACTCGCAAGTAAGTGGGGGCCCTACGGTCTGCTGCAGCAGGGAGTGGACAGAGTAACAGCAGTGGCCTCTCGTGATTGTCAGTGATTGCCATGTTTGGCCGTACTGCGTTTGCAGGTTCTATGAGTGTCTATCCTCATGCGGGACGGACTTGCTGCTGATAGGAACGATGATGCCAGGCGTGACAGATGGCCAACTAAAGCGCAAGCTCAAAAGGGAAGAAAAAAAGAATGCAGCGCTTGTGGAGGCCGCACTGTCGAGAAAGCGTTCACTTTCACTCCAGGCTTACGAACAGGTGTTTCTTCTTCCCTAAGTTCAGTGGATCCATACTCAATGCATCCATACTCAGGTTACGGCTACAGCAGGAGCGCCAAGAAAGCTGCAGCAGTACGCTGCTAATGTATTGTCACGCTTCAGAACCGTTTCTTGCGGAGTGGTATGCTCTTTCCGTGTGCGGCGTCACTGCAGCTCCATGGGACTATACGCCGGGAGCTGCACTGTCAGCCATTGAACGACTCTGATGAGGAGCCGCCACCAAGAGCTCTGGGCGCACTGGCCCTTCCAGCCCCGGGTAAATTTCACCACAGCATCTTACTTGTGGCGGGTTGAGTTGCGCACACTTCCTCCTGCCTAAGTGTCGTCTTTCACTGCCCGTGACCGACGGAGGACTTCCGTTATCCCTGCCTGTACTACTGCAGCATGATGGCGTAGTAGTGTAAGCCTTCGCAGATTGCTCCTACATCCTGGCTTCATCTGGTGTGCTGTGACAGCTGCAGTAACTACGCCGGCATCGAACGGCAGCAGTGGTTTGCTGACGCTTTTCGGAGACGACTCAGCCATGGATGCCATCATGGCTCCAAGGAACTCAGGGGAGCCCGCAGACTTGCCTGAAGGGCTTGCTGGAGGGACAGCAAAGGATACTTCCGATGCTCTGGACACTTCTCTTATGGCCCTGTTGGGGGAGCCTTTCTAACCGCGTAATCTAGCCCAAATTGTCGCCTCTGCAGACGGGGTTCCCGGCATCCAACTGACTATCTGGGGCCAACTTTTGCCGGGGCCTCTCATCCACATGTGCTGTCGCAGCAGATAGCGCAGGTACTACCCATGCAGTGAATATGTCAACTTCGTAGAGATCGACTGGCTAGCAAGCTTACAGTCAAGCTAGCTTTAATTACTAGGTAGTCCCATGCCCCAATTTTAGTTGGCATGCGTATCAGCAGATTGAGTGTACGACTGCAAGATTGGCAGCTCCTGTTGAAAGGAAGCCAGTCGTCGTTGCGTCTAGCGAGGTTTGCGTTTGCGCTAGTTGTGCACGCTACCCTTGCACTCAGTAGTGGCTAGAGGGCAAACTACTGCTCAGAAGTAGGGAGACCCGATATGTCAGGCCTCAAAATGGCCCTCCTCGCTGGAAGGGGTCGTTCCAGCACAACTTCAAACAAGTTCAGAAGCCCCTCCTTTGCAAAGCCAACTCCCGCTCAGCAGCACCAAGGCAACTCCGTTCGTATGTCGCAAACAACAGAGCGACCAGCAACACAGCAGGGTAACTTGCTAGCCAAACGTCGAAGGGATTAGCGGTATAATCACGAGGCTAGCTGACGCTTATGTGCTGGGACGGGTGGACGGGGTCGTTGACTACTGGGTTGCGTCCGAGGTTTCGCGGGGATCGTTCAGCCGAGAAAAGCGATGAAGCTGCACGCAGATAAAAGGGGCATTGGTAGCATCTACACAAAACCAACGAACAACCAAGCTGACTGCCTACGTCATGAATGTCTTCCGCCACATGACGCGTATTTTCCGGTGCTAGCCAACGCTCTGCTGCCGGAAAGAAACAGTGGCAACCGCCCTCTACTGGCACTTACGGTCCTACAAGAAGCAGCAAATGCCTCACTGCCACATATATCTGAGAGCTCTCAACCACACTTCCGTCTTGCTTACCGCTTCCGTCGTGCTTACCTCTCCTTTGAACCAATCCGCTCGGCTCCGCTCAAACCGAGCCCTCAGTGCTGCCACGGAGGTGATCTCTCCTTCCGGACTTCGCTGTTCCTTCCCTAAACAAAACATCGCAGACTCACGCAACGCCAAGCGAAGCATTACAGTGGAACAGGCAGCTCCAGGTAGCCGCCGTTTCTCTTCACTTGTTTGCAAGCATGCAGCTGCTTCAGCTGCAATGGAGAGGCCTGACCCATGTAATCCGTCCCCACGGGACCATAAGAGTCACTGGTGATGTGCCCTTGATGATTCTGGCAGTCCCCTGGAGGGCCTCGTGTTGGCTTCCCTTGCCTATGGAACTGCCTGTGCCTCCAGGCATCTTCTGGTGCTTTTGAAGCGCTCCGGCTGCTGCACTGGCTGATGGTCTCTGGGGTTGTTGCCGTCCTGTCCGCAGCACCTGGCAGTCGCCCCTGCTGCTTGCCCTTGGCCGCACAGCTCTTCATCCAGTCAAGCCGAGCTCTAATCCGTCGTGCTGTTGCCTCGTCCCTGTTTCCGTCTTCTCCCGCAGGCAATAAGCCCGTCCTACAGCAACAATACCAGCATCAGGACACGAGAAAAACAAAGATGCGCAAGGGATACCGAAGGTGCATACCACTGAACAAAATCCGACTGCGCTACAGGCGAAAACAGGCGAAGAGGCAACGCCTCATAGACGAACCGCAATACCAGCAGAAAAGTGCCATGCCGTCACTGCTGCTTCTGCAGCAAAATCAGAAAGATTGCTTGCCGACGCAGATGCAAACAAACGAACTGCAAGCAGCAACAGCATCACCAACAGTAAAACACGCAGCGGCAGCAGAAGTATGCGCCTACTTCCTGAGGCGGACAGCCTTGTAAGGGTTGGGCCTCTGCTCATCTGCATCAGCGTCAACTTGCATCAGCCACTCCGGGAAATCAGAGAGTCCCATTCTCAGTTGTCGTGCCTCCAAAGCCTCAGGATCTTCTTCCCTACCACGCATTGTCAGCTGTCGCCTGCAGCAACAGCAAAGCAGGCCAGCAGCAGCAAATGAAACGGCTGTGGAGTAGTGAGAATGTAAGCCATATGCGGAGACGCAGCGGCAGTAGCTTCAGTAACATGCAGAGCACCCTCGCCAGTAGCACCAAAACTACCAGCACCTGTAGTTCCTATGCGCACGAGCTTAGCCTCCGTTGTTCGCTGTGAAGTTCGTCGGATTCCAGCTCCTCCAATGGGCTGGATACCGCTTCTCCTGTTGCGGCTGCTTTTGCTTTTGCTCCAAAGATATCAAGCTGCGGTTTTTTCGGGGCTGCTGCCATGTCATCCACCCCAACGGTACGCAGACACTCCTCCACAGACCCAGCTCTTACTGCTTTTTCTGGTGGCCCTCCCGAAGTTGGGGATGCCACTGGTTCTGCCTTTGGTGTATTTTCTGCTCCTTCCGCTGCTTGCTCTGGCGTTCCTTCATACTGATCGTCTACCGACGAGCCCTTAGCAGCAGGAATCGGCTCACTCTCTCGTCCTCGAGATCCCCTTGCTGCTGAAGCTTCTCCGGCCGTAGAGCGCGCGTCGCATGCTGTCGTTTCCAGAGCTGCTCCTGCTTCTGCTGCTGCATCGGCTGCGGCTTTCCTTGTCACCTCTCCTGCAGTGCCCCATGGCACGTGCACTTCTTCTAATACTTCTGCTGCTGCATCCTCTGCCGCTTCGTCTAGTGCTAATTCGGCTTCCCCTGCTGCACCGACACGCTCTCCTGCACATGGTTTGCCTGAGGCTGCATCATCTGTTGTCAAGTCCCTCACGGCTTCCGCTGTTGCTACATCTGCCACTTCTGCCCCCGCAGCCGCTTCTGTTTCCGTTTCCGCAACTGATGTACCTTCGGCTGGTGCCGTTTCCCGTGCTGCCTCTGGTTGGCCGGCTCCGGCTGCGAATTTGCCACGGGCAAGAGAGAAGTTATCGCATTCAACGTACGCGTGTGACGAAGCACAAGCAGCAGTATCTGCTGGAGCCGCAGCTCCTTCCTGTCCAGATATACCTAACGTTGAAGCGTTATCACGTGACTCTGCCGTCGCTGAAACATCTTCAAGATCTCCCTCTGCGTCTGCGTTATCATCCGCAGCAGCTGCCGCACAACTGCGATAAGCTCCACGATCTGCCGTTTCAGGACCATATCCAGCGGTTTTTTCGGGGCTTGTTTTGCTGTCAACACCTGGTAGGTCATCCTTTGCTTTTGCAGCATCGAGGCTGGACGGACTGCAGCAGCAGCAGCAGCACCAGCAACAGCGATACCTGCCAGTCCCAACCGAGGAAAACACGTGCCGCAGCAGAGGCAGCGACACCAGCACATGCAGGCGACGTGGCTCTGCATGCTCACTTTCTGTTAACAAAAGAAAACGCTAGCTTCGCTGTAGTCAAGGGAGGTCACTTACCTGGGGATCACCTTCGCAAATTGCTCCACGATATCTTCGAAGGCAAATATGTATGGACACGGCCCAGCGCCAACACCTCCCGCCACAGCAGCCGTTGTGTCAGCTGGTGCGGCTTTAGCTGACAAGCCCACAAGAGGGTCAAATTCAGTGCTCTCTGTATTTTGAGGTACTACGGACTTCAGAGGAGAAGAATGGTTAACGAGAGTTAGGATGCCTGCCTCTAAGCTGCGATGCCTGCCTGACCACTCAAGGCCCCTGCGCCGGCATCCCAGAGCACGCACAATCTCAAGATATCTCTAAGCCTTTCCAACAGATGGTGTCACGCAGCGCACGGCATTCTGCAAAACACCTAGCAGTTGTCCTTAGTCAGATGTGGCCTGTGCAGGCCTGCGCAGTACTAGAGCATAAGGACACAAGAGGGCTCTGTAGTCCATGCATGTGCATGCACCGACAAACTTGGGCTAAAGGCGGCGTGCTGCTCTCACCAAGATAGAAACGGTTGCAGCGCCCTGTGCCCTTCGTCAACCTCCAATGGCAAGTCCGACATCAGCGCATCCTCGCCCACCAGAATTCGGCTGTCTACAGACGGTCCACTGCCCCTAGAAGAGGCGCCTGCTGCTGGAGGGCTCCCAGCCATGGTTGATCCTGTTGAAGAAATAGAAAGAGACAATAAATTTGCCGTCAGCCGCTTCAACTTCGAGGCCTGGCGACGCACAGCCCGACCCACAGAAGACTCGTTCCTGGTGCCGTTCCTGTTACTACTGCTGCTGGTAGCAGCTGCTGCAACTAGGCCGTGCTGCAGCAGCTGTAGCTCGCGCCTCAGGGCACAAGGAGATTGCGTTGCAGTAGTAGCACGGGTTGCTTCCCCAAATGACGGCAGTGGCTTTGCTCCCTTGTAGTAGTCAGCACGCCCCGGCCACGGCACGAAGGCAGTAAATGCTTCCTGCTGCTGCACCAGCGCTGTTTGCTGCTGCTTGTGATGCAACTGTTGCTGTTGTTTCAGAGAGTGCACGGGTTCTTTCTGCTGTTTCCCGTGTTGTTCTCCAAACTCATCAGAAGATAACGCACCTGTTTGTGCATCTGCGCAAGCTTGGCAACCCTCAGCAGCACGCCACCGGTTGCTATGGTCGTTGTTTCTGTTGCTACCGCTGGTACTTCTGACTGGGATACTGAAGCAGTTGGTGCTGTGGAGAGCACTAGGGTCCTCGAGACCGTCTTCTTTCCCACGTGTTGAGTGTATTTCTTGCGACGTGTACTCCTGACGCAGTTGCTGCTTCTGTGTGCGCTGGGGCTGCCTTTCCAGTAGCTGTTGTTGCCCAAGGCTGCAAGCATCCAAGGAGACCTGAAGGGTCTGCGAAGCCAGAGCCTCCCCTCCCTGCAGCATCGCCAGGGATCAGTAAACGCAAGAGTTCCACAGCCCTCACACAGCAACCTGACTGCATCAGCCGCCGTGGCAGCTGTTGCTGCTGTGGCAGCGTGGGGGCCGATTTTATAGGTTCAGCACAAGTACGCTGCACCAGACCAACAAAGTGATTCGAAGCATATCTTGCTACATCACTGTTTATACTTTGATGCTGTCATGTGACCACAAATGCGCTTCTGTTGACGTCCTGTTGTGGTAACCTATAGCATAAGCTGCCTTTGCCCTTGCTGCTCTTGTTAGCGTCTGAGCTTTCCCGGAAAACCGCTGGCGAGTGACAAATGCGCGTGACAGATTCACGCTTCCGCCTCTGTCCCATCTGATGCTTCTACTCTATTGCCGTCAACAACCTACTCTCCCCGCCAATATGCCGTTGACGGCAGCCCTCCGGTGCTATTTCCGGTGTTACAGCCTCCAGTCCCATTGCTTCTCTCGTTATGATTGAAGAGATTAGATGTGACTTGCTTTTTGATGTGACAAATGCAGCTCCTGTGTTGCAGACGCTGAGCATGGCATCAAAAGCAGTGCGGCAGCACCTGCGGCACCACTCGGTAGTTTTCTCTAACTACAATAGTTCGTTTAGACTGCTGAACGGCATATAAAGCAGTTGCCCGACATACCCTACAAAAAACTAACCAGGTGACGCAATATTCACAGATGAAGCGGCTGGCAGCAAACAGCCCCGTGTTGCTGTACCTGGAAGAGCCTGAACAAGGGGCAATCGAGCCCACAGAGCTTTGAAATCTCAAAGCAACAACTTTTACAAAGAAACACCCATAATTAATTCTAAGCCCGTACGTGCCGCTTGTGTAGCATGTTTGAGCGATGCAGCCCCCTGAGCGAGGCCTTTCGCTTGGGCCTCTTATGTGCAAGCAACTCACACAGCTCCAGAGTGTCTACGTAGCTCTTGACAACGCTACAAGCAACTATTCCAGCCCGTTTAGTCGCTGGAAGTAGATGCTGTTTGTTGGCACCGAAATACACTGGACTATTGCGACGGGTGAATATGGGTCACTTCTGCACATTCCAGCCCGTTAATAGACGAAGTGTCTCCAATTTACGCTTCCATCTGCATAGGCGTGATAGGCTAAGGCCTCCGTAAGCTCCTACAGCTAAAACAGCAGCAGTAACGCGACTAGGCACTACTGCAACGCAGCACAATCAGGGCTTCGATGAAGCTGCGCTTACCAGAGAAGTCGCCTTTTTCCGCGTCTTGCTGGTGTTAGGAAGGGTTAGTAAAGACCCCACTGGTGGCCTCCAACTTTCTTTGTAAGGGTACAAATAGGTGGGGGTCTTGACCCCCACCTACTTGTACTTACGAAGACCATTTGGTCAGAAAAGAAGCGGGGCTGCCGTGCCTGTGGGCATCGCGGCATCAAAGTGTAGGTCGAGGTCAAGAAACCAAATCAACGATCACTGAATACGCTGCATCCCGGCTCGTGCTCAGGTTGCGATTCACGGGTAGCTGGCGCGACGCCTGCCGTAAGGAGAAACGCCTCAAGCCGCCTCGCACCCGTGCTGCTTGGGCCCCGGGCCAAAGTGAAAGAACACAGTCTTAAACTATTCCTTTGTCAAGCAGTGATGCGAGCAAAACCGTGCAAAAATCCACAATTATAAGACGAGGGCGCCAGTGCGCCAGCGGCATTTGGAAACACCACCAAACATTTGAACCTTATCTACGCGTGCCCTTAGAAAGCATGACACGATTCCGAAGAGCCGTTGTGAGCCGCCGCGGAAGTGCTGTCTGTCGGGAGCGCTGGGCTGGAGATGCTAGACATTCTGCAGCACAGTGTTTGCACTCCCATCCGATTCACTATTTTCGCAAACGCTGGTACTGCCGACTGAGGCTAGTACCTTAGGTTTGCTTAGTTTTTGTAACTTGGAACGGCATTTGGTGGAGCTGGTATGGGAGAGGTACATGCAAAGTGAAATTTTTAAGTCCTCCACATTTTCCCCAGGTAATTGCTTTTCCTAGAGTGCGACTAAGTGCGACTAAGCTGCCGATGGGTGGACCCACTACGCTACAGAAATGGGTGGAGCCATAACATATGGAGATAAGCAAGGGAAGTTCCACTGGTTATCATTGTGGAAAGTCATGTTGACGTGTTGGACGTCGCGCACAGTGGGTCTGTCTTAGATCTCAGTAAAGGGTATGCTTATTATTGCACGACACAAGTATGCAGTACCCGGAATTTTTTTGAGTCGCCCTTTTGTCTCGACTTTCTTTCCTTTTTTGCCTCAGATTTATTACTGAGACTGCCAGCTAAGGCCAATAACCTGCCAGCCAAAAGCCTTCATCCTCGCTATTGTAGTGGCAACGATGTACGTTTAGTGTTTGTGCTAAATTTAGGACCCCTTCAACTTTGCAGCAATCGGCTCTGCAGCAGTGTGTCTGCCTCGTCAGGCACCTGCGCCAGCGTCATCTTGAGCTTCGTTCCTTGGGCACGCCATTAGTTGGCAGATTACAGCAGCATGCCGGACATATGGTGTGAAGGTCCGGGAGCTTTCCACTGACATCCCCAGAGGTCAGACATAGTTGTATGCATTTCTGCAGGCGTCCAGGATTGTTTGTGGAGCCTGACGTATTGCAGAACCCCGTTAACACCAGTTCTTGAGCACCCTGAATGCCTACTTTTTCGCCAAAATCATCAGTTCCACCCCCACAAAATTTGAAGAACAAACACTCATTCAAGGAACAGTGATGGTCAGCCAAGAAAAACCAAGTGACGCCACAAATGCGCGTTCAAGCCAGCTTAGTGGTGAGCCCAGAACGAAGTTTTGCTCCGCCTTGCTCCGCATCAGCTGTTGCCCAGATGAGACGCAAGAGAGTCATCCCTCACAAGCCAAACCGGGCAGGATTTCGTCACTTCGTAGCTGGTCAGCAAGTGCAATAAGATGAACGCTATGTAGGGTGAAAGCGTGAAAGTTTTTAAAGGGAGAGGCAAGCGCAACACGGCGGTGAAACTGTGTAGCGTTTAGGTAATTAGCTTCGCACGCTGATTGCTTTAAAGTTATTGCGCAGCAAAGCATCCTAGGGAATTGGGAAATCTTCTACATTCTGCTAGCCCTATTGTTCATAAATTCAAGACACGTGAGCCAAGTAATGCTGTGGAGGAACCAATTCAGCCAGTTGCCGCTAGTTAACTTTCTTCCCGTAAGTATAGTCTCTACAAACGCCCAACAGCAAAGGCCAGCCCTGTACGGCGCCAATCCTGCAATGCCAGCAGAGATCTACGGCACCGGAAGTGCTTCAAAAAGCACTGGTCGCGACGGCCACATCGCCGCCAGGTCGCATTTGTTCTCAAGAACGTCTCACTCAGCTCGCAAGCTAGTTGAGTACTTACTACCTCGTGAGCAGAATCGAAGCGCCCGTGATGGTTGACGAAGTAAGGGCTTCCAGAAAATCAAACCGATACTCCATTGATCACTGCTTAAAAACATGGACGGTTTCCAACGTGTTGCCAACCGGCCACTAGCAACGCCTCAGGAGCGTCTTCAGAATGATAAAAATGCCCGCACCAAATTGCTTGGAAGTGCGTGAACTGCAACGCTGTCTGTGGGCTTCAAAAGAGTGCAGCCAAAGAGGAGAATGAAAACGTCTCATTACGCTAAAGATTCCCCAGCCTGTAGCGATCATTTCTTGTTAGCCATGGCCTCCAGGTGCTGCCGCAATTGCTTTCCAAGAATACAGCAGATCCCTCACACAGAAGAGGTGAGGTTGTGGCTGTTCAGGCCCAAAGCAAAAACTGCTAATATTACTAAGCGTTTGCGCTAGGCAAAGCATCCATATCCCCGTTTGCTCACCCTTTCGCCAATAGCCAAGGCAGCAGTGCCTTCAAGAGACCAACTGGGGGCCTTTCATTGGACTCCTTTGTTAATAGCCAGCACTCTCCCCAGATCTCAAGCACCACAACAGCCCCACTACCACTGCCTAAAAAGGAATGGTGAGGAAAATGGGACTGCTCCACTGTAATATGCGATTGCGGCCACTGACTGCCATTAACCAACTAGGCAGCCCACTGATTCAGTCACTTGCCCTAAACAAGGGGGCTGCGCTCTGGTACAGTGGGTTTCCCAGGTGCTTCCTCCATCCTGTGGTACAGCTGCAATTGCTGCTGCACTTCATGTTGAACACGCTGCTGCATCCCCTCACCTAGCTGCTTCTTTGCATATCGATAATACAAATAACTTAGTCCCAAACAAACCACAACAATCATGAGCAAAATGAAGACAAAGTTTCGGGAGTCCATCGTTGACCGCAACCAAGGAGCATCTTCAGTGTGCGCATCGCTGCAGAAAACACGCGAAATAACAGACAATAGGCAGCCACCCCGTTTCTTCCTTCTGCAGCTGGTAAAGCACCGCCGGGTTGCTACAGCTACTCTTACTGCGCCGATTCGCGGCCACGGGGTGTGAAGACTGCAGTTTTAGAGATACTCACATGACAATTTCGTTGCATTCTTCGGCTCTATATTTATTCGTAAGCGGGTTAGCAGTTGCGGAGCAGATGGCTCTAAGGACTGGCTCCGTCGCAAGCTGTCCACTATATCTGAAGCAGGTCGTAAGAGCCCAAGATATGCCTAACAGTTCTCCCCGTGCATATCTCAATCAGTTCGTAGCATCTTATTCCGACAATCCTAGCGCTTCATGAATTGTTGCCTTGGGCTTGTCATTTGCCCGTTGTTTGCCCGGAAAGCACCTCCGCAAGACTAAACTAGGCTAGGTTGTGTTGCAGTTGTTTACCTGGCACCATTTATTGTCATGGCGACTATTGTCCATCCACGGTTGTTCTTTGAAAACTCCAACAGACTGCGTCCATTCTCATCCGTCATGCAAAGCTCTACAGAATGCAACTGCCCTCTTGACAATACCTCAGACAACACCCGCTTGGAGCACGGCGGGCCCCATGCGTTTTTGCCCTAGCGCACGCACACAAAAATGCACCAACGTATTGGGAGGCAAAATGTCAACGCAAAAACTGAACACGCCGCACGTACAACCATACACATATTCACTTCATTTCTTATTCTGTAGCTTATCTGTCGAGCTGAAGGGAAATACCATGTGCATTGGGGACAAGTTCACAACCCCCCCTACCACCTAAATCCAGTCAACCACAATCACCACTTCATTAACTTACAATATACAAATCCCCAAAAGATTACCTGCCGAATCAGCCTTGACAGGCACGCGATTAGCTTACCGTCCCGCTGAAGGAGCAGCCGTCCCTTGGATCGCCGAGCCTCTGGTGATAGAGCCACCACTCGCGAGAAAACTCGCCTTCCTGCATATCTGAAGGGGTCACCTTTGTGGCCCAGTACAAACAAGATTGTAGCAAAGCCTCTTGAACAACCTCGCTGCCTGATTCGCACAAAAAAACAACACAAAGCAACTCAACGGCGTGCCCACAAGGGGCCACAGGCTGCCTGCCCATTGCCCCACTACCAAATTGGGGGGCTGGCAAAGCCAAGCTGCATACCAGTAAGGCCCAGCACTTGTGCGTTGGGCTCGAATGCGCAGTAGAGTTTTGGGTACTTCTCATACAAACCCTGAGAGAGACACAGCTCTTCCGAGCCGCCCCCCAGGGAGAAGACGTTGTAAATCGTCTGAAAACGAACGTGGGCCCCAAGGCGCAGCATGTAGGGAGCCAAAGCCTGTAAGAAGCTGGCAGCTGCATGCACTCTCCACAATGAAGGCGAAAATCATCAGCACGCACGGACAGAAAAACGGCCCTATCCACTTCGTCACGGCAATGAAACGAAGAGCCGTGAGAGGCTCATCAGCGGAACAAGGTTGCTCAGTGAAGACCTAAGGATGTAGCACTCACCCTGTACGTCTCCAGGGTCTGCCCAAAAGTTCACGGCCACTGGCCACTGAGCCGGCATGCGCCACTCCAACTCGACAAGAACAGGCTCCTTTCCAGCCAGTATCTCTTCTTCAAATGCCTTGCCATCCACTTTGGATATCAAAATGGAAGGGATGCGGATGTCGCGCATCTATGAAACAGAAACAAGGCGCCTACAGACACCTAGGAAATGCAGCACTGAAGGCACTTCAGGGTTCCCTATGAACAGGACACACCGGCGGTATTAAGGGGGAAGGACAAGAAGGAACGGCTGCGAGGTGGGAACGTAAATCCACAGGTATGCACATATGCATGCATGCATCCAAGCAGCGCAGACATGTCGGATACCTTGCCATCATCACTCATAATTATGTTATGGCGAATCATCTCGCGTGTCCAGCCCTGGGCACCCTGGTCAACCACCACCACCGCATCCGCCCCACAGCTCTGTGCTACCTCCACCTTGGCAGCAAACGTGCAAATGCCTCGGTCTACGAACAGAACCACCTGCAGCGCAAAAAAACTATGAGAACCCTCTTTTGTCGCATTCGAAGCCTAGCACTCCCAAACTAGAACAATGATGGCCGCAGATAAATGGAAAGCAAACGAACCATCCCCTGTGTCCTATAGCCCCTTGACACGCTGGTCATCGGAGATCTACGCACGTACTGTGGTATGCTAGCAAACTACGGGCGATGGTGCCCTAGCTCTAGACTGCATGAACCTAAACCTAAGGGGCAGATCTCACATTGCCAAGTCCCCCTCGCAGTCCAGTACGTTTCCAGTCATCGATCTGGTCCCTTATCAACGCACAGTACGATGGGTTGCAGTGATAACCAGTTTCGGTCCCGTCCGCTCCTTTACGCGGCTCATCAGGCACGTAAAATGCCCGCCCTCTGAAGCACAGAATAGCATACGCCGAGTTCAGCGACAGGAAACAGGTGTAAGCCATCGCAGGAGAGCTCTAGGAGCGCATGGGGGAGCGAGCAGCATGGCAGCAGCTACACACACCAGCAGCACACTGCCGCGGAACCAGTTAGCAGCAGCTGCACTCACCTCAGTGTTGTGCCGTAGGTGGGAGTTCCAAAGGAGGCCGTGGAGCCTATGATGGTGTGAAAATTCTCTTCTGAAACCGCTTTCATGGCAATCAACTTGTCCAACAAGCTCTTGGGGGACTGCGGCCGCAGCTGAGCCTCAGCCGCTTCCCTCAAGAATGAGTCAACTACAGCCAGCAACACCAGTAGCATGCGAAATCTCCAACCAGGTGAGGTCGGCATGTTTCCTATCCACTCTCTCACAGCAACAGTGCGTCGCATACGATGCGCCAACGGCGTACGGGGGGGAGCCCGTGCGGACAAAAAGCGTCAACCAAAGCCGAAAACGCGGCTACGTGATCTATGTAGGGCTGCCTTCTACCTAGACCGACAACCACAATGGCCTGGAGAGTCCTGCGAAAAAGGTTAACTCGCTCTCAGGCACCGGGGTTGCGGATGGTGGCGTTGCGGGGGCTACGCTGAGGCGTAAAGCGTGTGCTGTGGTTTATTAGTGCGGATGAAGAACACTTCCTCGCACGAAAGACAGTCCATCACCTTCAGTCACGTAACTTCTCATGCGGCCACCAGAGATCCTGGTGAGGACGCGATCCCAAGCCAAGCGCACGCACACAGCAGTGCCTCATGGGTGGACCAAGTGTGTGTAGTTTCGGCACGTTGACAAACCAAGTAAGTTTAATCTGTTTTAGGGAGGTAAAAGCCCTCAGCAACATCAGAGTACACTCAACTTACTGGGGCTGTACGATTGCCTAATCGGCTGCATGCGTCAAGGGCTACATATCAGGGGCAATATTTTGACATGCAGTTACTTGCAAGCAAAAGAGCTTACGCATAGTCGCCATACAAAAACTCGACGTTAAGGAACACAGCTTTGTAAAAATCGCGACCTAAGGGCCGCTGCTAGAGTTCACGAAGCCAAAGCCACAGGTACCTTACCCTCTTTATGCGCAGCTTTAGACCCTCAAACTCGGTTCACTTCGCACTTCTTGGTGTACATCGTACTTCTTCACGTGGAGAGAATGACATTTTCAAGTGTGCTTCCTTGTTGAGCTGCTCGAGTGTATCTTGGAGGGCTTGCGGACAGGTACCATGGGAGCTTGCTTGGCTTAGGTGCAACGACTACATTTTTAATGCAGTCTATGGTGCTATCCTGTGGTGCTAAGAATGTAGAACGTCCATCCGAGGCCTTATAAGCCACTGTGCTCAGACACGGGTAAGGAGTGTTCGCTCAGTAGTGCAGGAATCTACGACGGGCACAAGTGATGCCTCTGAAGTGAAAGAGGAGAACAAGAGCTTGCTTCTGCGAGGGGGTGCACTAGGTTACTCCGTGATCCCGTGCGCGCTGAAGTATCAACTTCTCTTGAAACGAAGAGGACATTGCATGCAGAGAGCAAGTTGCGCTAACGTCTCTACGCAACCTGGCTGGTTCATGCAACCGCGATTGCAGCCCCTCCACACTTTGGAAACTTCCAGTGTTCCTCGCCTTGTGATATTTGGGGCAATAGGGCAATCAAGGCGTCAGCTTCCGTAGGTCGTTGCCTGGCTAGCACCGGCCCATCAAACGAAACTATTTTCAACATCCTGTAAGGCTCCTCACACGTGCGTGCGCACAGATATTTGGAATTTCTCAAACCATGGTGCCTTTTTTCAGAACATTTTGCCGTTACGCTACTCCTGCTTCACCGCTCGCCCTTTATATTTTCCGCAGGCCACTGACGCCACGCCTGGAGCTTGCGGCTCGCAGCAACCCTGTAGATATCGAGAACAACAGCGCTGCAAACAGAACCCAATTTTGCCTTGCAACACTTTGCAAGTGTTGTCCTCTTTAAAACCATTGTTCGTCTTTATTAGGCGCCGATATTATATGCACGTGAAGTTGCTAGGATGGTACCGCGGGTTACTACATCATCGTCATGCAGTCCCCGTCTCTGGTCTTCTGCGTTATCTCGACACCCAAAAACTGTACGTTTTAGCGTAGCGTCACGCTTTTCCTAGCATCTTAGCACGGTTAGTTACTAATAACAGAGGCCGCATTGAGTTGCTGCAAAGGAGGATCTTGGGCATTGGGACCCCCAGCGCTAGTTTTGGGTCCACAGTATCTTGCACTGGTGGCAATCGCACCTCGGCCAACTTGCACATTAGATCCATTAGTAGATTGGCGTGATGCTTCTAGAAGCCCCTGACGTTTGTTTCTCCTGCTGTCAATATTAATAATAACTAAAAAATATATTGTACTTAGCGAGATCTTATATCCCACAGGCCCAGAGCTGCTCCGTTCTGGGCAGGCGGTCCTAAACCCGCCGCGGTCTGTCTAGGCCGATCTTGAGCAGCGGGATCCACATCACGGATTCCCGTTTCACGGGTTTAGACATACTTACACGCTATCTCTTTTCCCATGGCCTTCAGCTGCACCACTTCGACAACATTGGCTCCGCGCGTTCTTGTTTGCTTACTGTATTTCCTGTCGTAAGCTGCTTTGTACATGCCTTATCCGAACTTCGGTTTGCTGCCGCGGAAAGGAGGCTTGGCCGACGGGAGCGTTGGTAGCTGGAGCCCTAAGTGGGTCTCTGTGCCCTAGGCTACACCCTACCTTACAGGCGATGTGCAACCTGGCTGCATCGTGCATGCAGAAGGGTGAGTTTACGCACGGCGCTCGAAAATTATGCCCTGAAGTATTTTTTTGAAATCATGAAATAACTGGCCTGTCGAGCCCTTCCATCCGGCTCCTCGCAAAGTAAGCATTGATCTCTTGCGGCGATGCGAGCGAACTCTGCACCACGTTTGATCATGTTGTTTAACAGTAGCCGGGTAACTGTGCGAAGTCTTTTCTGAGATTTTACAGATAAGCTGGGCAGGAGCCCTGCATTATACGCTTCACAGCAAGCTTCCCCTCAGTCTCAGAGAACTGGATTTCCGCAAATTTCGGATTCGCTAGCAGATACTAGTCATTGGTGCACCTTTGACCGACGTTGGCGGGGTTTCCTTCTACGCCCCGCTGCCTGCTATTGTTGTCTCGCTAGATACTTGCTAATATTAAACGTCACTTGGTGGGAATTATAGTACTGTTTCCGTTTGGTCTTGTAAGTCTGCAGGGCTAGCCCTACACACGCCAGCGGCAGCGCAGCATCAGTCACCGCTTGAGAAGGCAGACAAAAATTCAGCCCTGTTCAGATGATTGGGTTTGCCACGGTTGGACTTTGTGATCGTGTAACCAAGCTTTCTGAGTGGAGTAAAGCGCGCTACAAAATACCCTCAGCCGGTGTCCCAGATAATGATAACAGCAACTAAGTAAAGCCCCAGCACTGTATATCCTGCCCCCTTACTAGCCCAATACTTGAAATGCAAAAATTTTATTTCAATCAAATTCCTGGACGAGACTATGAATACAAAGAACGAAGCTGCAGACCATATTATTGCAGCGCACTTCGAGTGCCTGAGCGGCAAGAAGGAGAGTTCTTTACTACCTTAGGCCCAAGGGCTCACGGCTCAATATTTTCAGCATAATTACTATCTCATTTATCATTTATTTGCTGAGTTTTTGTTAGAACCTTTCTGAAGGCTCTGGTGGAGGAACACGAAGCCTCCAGCTTCCACTGTCTCTGATGAGTAACTAGACTGGACGTCATTTTATAGTACTGTAGGACACTTTGCCGGGTACCTAGCTGCAGCTGCAAAGTCGTCCTTCCCTTGGTCACGTAACAAGTATTCAAGGTTCATAGCGCATGCTAACGAATACGTGCCCAGGGATGTATGTCTAGTGCTACGGGCCTGGGTCGCCATTAGCTGGTATAGCCAGCAGCAAAAGGTGCTGTCGAGAATAGGCAAAGACGACTAGAAATTTTATTGCGGGCGAAGACCAAGCAGTTCAAACTAAACTGCACTACATGATCAGGCTCACATCAGATGGTGACACGCCCTCCACCCATGCCGCTCTATCCCTCGTGCGCATTTTAATTAAACTATTGAAGAGGAATAAATGCATTCATGTGAAAAGTGTAGGCCTTAAGTGCTGGCTTAACATTTCCCAATCGTTTATTCTACAGCGATCGGGTCTGGCTTGATTACACTTCATGCAAACTGTGGTACGGAGAAGCTGACACAGTAAGAGCATTCATTACTGGAAAATTTTGAACTAGATTTATTTTGAACTAGATTTGCCTGCTGTGTTTTAAGAATTTGTGGGGAATGTCTATGTGAGTACAGGTATTTCTTTTTTGCGCTGATTCTCCACATGTGAAGCAGCGGCTCACCCCGTGTCGTATTCGATCAGTTTGCATGCGCAAGCGCGTGTATTTTTGCCCATTTTCCAGCGCCCTTTTGTCGTTACTGACGTTGAATTGACACTGCATTTGTGCTGAGGGCTTCTGTTCGCAATGTCTGCTCGCGAGCCGGAAACTGCCCTTACGGGGTTTGTTCATTCTGCAGACCAAAGAAGCAACGGCAGCGACACTGACAGCCGGAGCTTAAATTGCGCAGCACACAGCGAAAGGGCGATTGAGGAGGAAACACTAGAAGACACTCAAACGAAACGCGAAGCCTCAGATGACCCTGAAGACCTCACCATCCCTAGTGGCTCACAGGGCAGTAATGGCGGCAGTAATGACGGAGAAGGTGGAGGTGGATCGCACGACAATAATTCCGCCGCTTTAGGGCCGGCGCCTCAAAGTGAAGGTGCAGTCGAAGAAGAGATTGAGGGTGAGAGTGGGGCTGCTGGAGAGCTGCGAAGGACGGAAGCGGAGTACAGCGACAACGGGTCACAGCACTGGGAAGAGGCTGTGAGCAGTCCAGAAGAAGGCAGTATTCTTTTTCAGTCTGATGAAGACTCCGATAGTAGCTCTAGCTCAAACAGTAGCGAGGACTCCCCCGAAACAGTGGCAGAGGAACCGGCTGCTGATGCGGAAGGGGACGCGCTTGGGTGTTCCCATTATCGCCGCAAGTGCAAAGTTGTGGCTCCATGCTGGTGAGTGCTCTTTTTCCTTTGAATATTGCTGTTCATAGAGCTGATAGTGGCTGCCGTACGCAGAATGCCGCAGCGCGTCGCAGCAATTTTCTGCCTCTAAGGGGATGCTGTGGTGCCGTTACTGCAGCAAGGAGATTTATTGGTGCCGCCATTGCCACAATGAAGCCTATGAAATGGATCTATCCAACGCACAGTGCGTCACTTCGTTCTGGCTTTTCTGGATTGTTTCGTTTGCCTGCGTATGATCGGATCGATGTCTTGAAAAACTAGTTTTGATTTGGTCTATTAATGCTTGCAGTGAAATAGATCGCCATGCTGTTGAGGAAATTGTCTGTGCCGTCTGCGAAGCCCGGCAGCCGGTAAGCAACAAGTGCGTTGGGTGCGGCACCGTCTTTGGAGCGTACTTCTGTTCTGTTTGCAAGTTTTGGGATAACTTGGGCGAGAAGAAGAAGGTGAGGGGTGCTTCCCTATTTTTGCCCGCTGGAAAAATTGTTTCGAGCTATCAGTTAAGCAGCTATACGTTGGTGCCTATGATGGTTCTTAGTGTTCTATCTGTGTTCTTCAGGTCTATCACTGCGACGAATGCGGCATTTGCCGATTAGGGGGGCGCGAAAATTACTTTCACTGCCCCACGTGCGGCAGCTGTTACCCTATGCAGTTGCAAAATAAGCACAAGTGTCTAGAAAATGCCATGCACAGGCAGTGTCCTGTTTGTCTTGAAGATATGTTTTCGAGCCTGCGCCAGAGCCAAGTGCTGCAGTGCGGCCATACCATCCACTCGGTGAGACCATAGCGGCCCTTCTTTTTTCAGAGTTTATGTTCATAGCCGTCTGCCACAATGCCAAGGCACTGGAGGCCACACTGTCATTACTCGGATTGTGCTTGATGCTCTCAGGATTGCCTGAGGCTTTTGCAGAAGCAGAAAGGTTTCCAGGCCATTAGGTGCCCCATGTGTGAGCAAAGACGGATGCAGCGTAGACGTCCTTGTAGATGATCATAAAGGCGCAACGTGCCATTCTGCACTGGGAGCTAAATGTTTCCCAGCAACAGCGAATTTTTGTGCAGGGTTGATGTCTCGGCTGTTCCCGCCGTGTGCTCTTGTTGCTCGTCATTTTCAGGTAGCAAGTCGATTGCAGATTATAGCGAATTTTGGAAGCAGCTCAGCGAAGAAATCGAGAGAACGCCAATGGAGGAACAGATGAGACGGAAAGTGCGTATCGCCTGTAATGATTGTCTAGAAAGATGTACGACCGATTTTCATTTTCTCGGTGAGCTGATACATGCAGTGAATGCTGCAACCGTGCGAGATTTGAGGAGTAGGCCCTCCTGCTGCTGCTGCCTCACCACGCAGACAGCTCATTATAGATTCCACGCTGTGTTGACGCAATGTAACTGGTGCAGGTCTTAAATGCCTGCATTGTAACAGCTTCAACACTCGCGATGTGGCAGAAGACTGAGCGCCGAGTCACGCGGGCAACGAATCAGCTATCATGGAGCCCGGTGCCGCTGCATGGAGTGGCAACAGCATATGTGTTGTGCTGAATAGTGAGGAGCTTCACAGAGAAGCTGCTGCTTCGCCATGCAGCCTTCACGTTCTTTTGACCACCATTGGGGCAGAGACTAAAGTAGTTCAAGTTGCATAACGAGCGTTTTGTTCTGTGGTAGAATAACGTGATGGGATGCCATCACAGTGTACTTGAACGCTGCGTTGGCTCTTTCTGTGATTGACCCCCCACTGCGCTACGTTGCGCCGAGGGTCTGTATAGACTAGGAAACTGTAGCTGATGGACTTTCGTCTGGCGGTCATTTCGGCGGAAGCTCGACAGCTTCTGCGAGCGTGCCGTTTTTTTATGTAGGCGCTGGCGGTGCTACTTCCGGAATATCACACTGCTGACTATTTCCTTTCTCCATCAGAACAAGTAGTTTACGATGCTAGTTGAGGACATTGTTAGGAAGGGAGAAGCGAGTGTCCGTCTAGCCATGCAGACCCCCAAGTGGAGAAAGGCCTCCAGCCAACACAGGCTGCGCGCCAGATGAGGCAGTAGCTGTTTGCAATTACTGTGGAAGAAGAAGTTCTTCACTTTTTTCAGATGCATAAGCATGAGACTCGTCAATAACTGCACTTTTTGCATACGAGTTTCGAATGCCTTTGGGGATGGGGGATGGCGTGACCTCCGTTTTCGATGCAAGATCTTCACGAAAATAACCTTTGGAGGAGAGTTGTTAGCCAGCTCCACCCTAGATTTTAAGCAAAGCGCAGAACGTAAGGAGAGCTCACTGCTTTTCTGAACTGGCTCTTAGGATGTAGGCAGCCGAGAGACTGAACTACAATTGGAATAAGTTGCTTTGCTCACTGTTGTAGTCCAGCTTAGACGGCGTTATCAGTTGCACATTGTTGAAGCGGCTAAATTTGATTCGCTTTCGAGGAGACTGCGATACAAGGTTCTTTTCTTTCGAAGAGTTGGCTCTGCGTCGCTTGAGGCGGCGGCCACTTCCACTGCCGTTCTCCGTGAAATCTGCGAAGGATGTTATGCGGCTGGCTTCGTTTGTGTTCCGTTCCTCAAGCTCCAGCTCTTGCCATTCTCCGAATTCGTGTTGCGACCTATTTGTGCCACATTCCCATATGCATTTATTCTGTTGTTTTCGCAGGGCGGGCCGGGTGAATGGTGAAGCTGGGGTCGCGAGGGCAGCCTTCAACCCTTCCGGTATGTTATCACGCGGTATGGGGAGCATATTCAGATAGCCACTCTCCTTCTGTTCCACATAGAATTCCGTTTCGACATATTCTAGACTATCGCCAACTGGATTTCTGTCGAACGCCTGTAAACGCTCGACTAACTCGCTGCGGCTCCCAGATGCAGAAAAGCCAAGGTCACTGCACAGTTTCCGCAAACCTTCAGTGGGCCAGAGTTGGCGATCTTCAAAAAGGTGGGGATTTACAACAAAATAGGGATCAGGGGAGCCATCAAGAGCCAAGCGTCTTCTGGTTTGTGAGAGGCTGTCAGGACCAGGCTGTGCTGGTCGGCATGTTGGGGCTAAATAAGATCGGCATCCCACTTTGTGACTGCCCGCCTTAAATGCGATCAACAGGTCCATTTTAAAGCATATGGACTGATGCTTTCACCATTTCGACCTATCTACTGTCAGACGTTTTCTTTTGGCTGCCCTCGAAGCATCCCGATCGCAATGGAGCACACAGTGTGAGGCATGAATAGTGCATTTATTGATCAAGAACTCAAAAGACAGACTTTGTTTGTTGCACCTGGGCCACAGCGTTGCAAAAAAGTGTCAGTGGGCAGGTGGGTCTAGTGACTGCTTTCAGAAGCGGGATATGAGGGCTGCACCGGCTAGTAGCACGCCAGTACTCAGGCACAGTTTCCAATTAAAAAGATTTCACTCCTGTCCCAAATAGCGTTTCATTCAAATGCAGCAATTTTCAACCGCGGAAAATTACTGGCAGGCTACAAGCAAGGAGGCACTTCGAAGCAGTGAACAAATTAAAAAGATAAGGAAACGTGCATGTAAGCTTATACAAGCGACAGTAGAAGCCTCTACTGAGACAGCCTAGCTCTGCACTTGGTTTTTTTTCCCAACAGAAACAGGAACAGAACCTTTAAGGCGCATGCTGCAGTGACCTCACTGCTTTTGCATGGATTCTGCACGGGGCTGCAATGCAATGTACGGCGGCGTGAATTTGAACACATGCTCCGAGACAAGTGAAACGTTACGTGAAGCATTAGGAGTAGAAAAAAGAAGTATAATGTATGACATTATGAAATGTTAGTTTCGAAGGAAGGGGATGCTCAACCGCACGGATCGCCACTTGTTCTAGGTTGCCCTTAACTTCCAGACGACGCTAATCGCACAGCGCCATAATTTTCCTCTTATCCCCATGGCTTGGAGACCCGAACTCTTAAAACCATAATGCACAACGGGATATACCCAAACTGCATCTGATTATGGGGGCATTCCTACGGTGTCGCTGTCACCACAGAGCGTGATCACTGACTACGTCGATACAAGATTTCAAAGTTCATTGCAAAAACAAGAAAAAACGGTACTATTTACTCGTCAAGGCTTCTTTCAGTACTTTCCAGGTAATCAATTCAGCGCGATGGGGAGTAAAGAAACGTTTGTTTGGCTAGATAGCCGCGATGTTGGACTGGCTGTGGAAAAACTTGAAATGCTGGTGAGCAGCACTGGGCACGTTGAAGCGCAAATCTGCGCGTTCCAAGACCAAAATTCCAAATTAAAAGCAGAGGTTTTGCGCAAGACAGAAGGTAATAGCTTATTTTCTCATTTTGAATTCGTTGGCGTGAGATATCCTTTAGGAACCAACATGCTGAAACGCTCATGCGAAGCCGCGCTGGCAAAGCAGCATGAACGCCTTCGGGCTCTACGACAGTAAGACAGAGATAGTCTTAGCGCAAACTTTCGCGGAAGCAGGCCTAGCCGCAGAATTATTGCACTGCGCCAGTGCCGACGCCGCGCAGTAGAAACAAGAGAAGAAACCATGCATGTATTAAGGAACGGTGAGCATTTGTGCCGTTTCCATCTAATAATTGCATGCTTTGCATTCCTCTTTCGCAGAAATTATCTCTCTGCAGTCTCGTTACAACTTCATGATGGAAGAAAGCGCTTCAAAACAGGCTTTCTTGCAAGCTGCATGGGTGAGTGGCCATCACTTGCCAATAATTTTCGCGAAAAAAAGCTTTAAATTGAGCAGGAAACCTATACTAAAGAGCACGAGTCGTTGCTTAATGCTTTGGAAAGTCTCAAGAAAGAGAAGGAAGAGAAATTCACACATACGACATACGTACAAGAGGCTGTCATGCTCGCTCAGGAAGAGAAAAACAAATTAGTTCGAGAATTGGAAGCTGAAGACCATGCGTGTTCAACAGGAAAGCAAGCACTGGGCGATATTGATCGGTCCAGGGACCGCCATAGCACATATGCGAGCCTGCGAAAACAAGTCAGTTTGCTGGAGCAAGTAAGGCAAAGCTTCCGTCCTCCCAGCTAATGCAACTATAACCTGTGGTCTAGAAGAAGCAGAAACTCATTGCTTCCAACCAGTCGGAGATAACTCGAAGCATTCAAGTGCGGAGCAGCGGAGCACGGAGCACAAAAAATTACCATGGACCGTATGCTCCTTACTGTGGCCGGATCTTGAGCGAGTTGATTGAGACTGCGGGAAGGACGAAAAGCCCCCAGAACGTATCGCACCACAGCGATATATGAAGTGACCACATATTGCTGTTCTCAGCATCACAGGCCCCTGCGACGGTGTTATTTCCTTCATACAAAGAGTGACAATAGTTCGCAGGCATTATGCGCAAGCAGTGGGCAGTCTGTAATGGGTGCCCACGGAATGGCCACAGCAACACAAAGTTAAAATTAGCCTGTGCAAATAACAAGAAAATAGTCCAGAGGGAACCATGTTCTCCTTTTAGGAGTCCTACATAGAGTGAGGCAAACAAATTGTGGCCGTAGGATGCTGCGAGCCGCCTGTTCCTCTTTTCAGCATCTTTTCCTGATCAAGCTGTGAGGAGGATGCAAGCGAAGCAGACTGTTACTGTCATCACTTTTTTGTTCGCATCCTTAAATTACACTCGAGTGCTTTAGGAAGCTCTACCGCTCAGCGCTCAACCCTCAAACCAGGTGGCAGTACACCACATCACACACCAGGCACTCAAACGGCTTCGCTGTCCGCGTATTCTTCCTGCATAATGCTCCTAAGCCGAACAAGGATAACTATAGATTGTGGATGGCGTCATTTTCCCGTGGGGAAGGCGTCGCGGTAGCGATGTGCCTTCTGCTGGGTCTGAACATCACAGGGAGCGTGCATTCTCTGAAAAACTATGGTGCCCCCTGCCCTCAAGGTAGCAGAATTAAACTGGAAAGTGTATGGCACTTTCTGAAGTAGATGATCATGAGCAGGCTGGATCATGCGTGGAAAGGCGCACAAATGCGAGGCGTTCCCCAGCTACGTTGGCCCATGCGCAGTAGGCCTATTGAAGCATTTCACCTAAAAGCTGCTTGCCTTGATAACTTACCAATAGACTGTCAGCGTATTCCCTGACGAAACAACAGAAAAACGCCAGCTGGAGACAACATGCAGATTCGAATGGCCGATACTCCAAACGTGCGAAAAGGATTACGAACGACCATGCCCTGAGCTTTGGGTGTGAAACACTTCCAGCTTCCTGGATATTAAACGAAATTGATGCCTCTCACTTCCTTTCAGTTGCAGCTACAGGACAATAACTGCGCTGCACCGTATTCTTATACAGGTAGTGTATCCATTAAATGCAGCAACGTGAGCCATACAATGCAGGAGTGCAGATAAATGTGAGAGGAGGCAATCGTTCACCGCCATGTCCCGAGTAAGTGGCCTGAGGAAAAGAGAGCCTCCTTTGAGCTTGTTGACATTCGAACAGGAGGAAAAGATGAACTACGAAAGACGCTGTGGCCTGAGTTGGCCCTGCGTTCCTCTTTGCGCGCGCGATTACAGCGCCAACTGCCCCGAGGTAACTAAGAACTTGAGAAGTATGGATGTCAGAATTGAACAGAGCCGTTTCGCAGGGATGGCAAGAATCTGGTTTGCAACTATAATTTTGCAAGTCTTTTACCTGCTGAATTCAACTTGTGCGCTGTAACAGAAGACCAGCACTCGTGTACCGCCGGACCAGAGTACACAGGCCCTTGTGTGCCCAGCATGAGTTTTCAAAACATGGACGCGACTATGAAGGTCTCTTGCTTTTTCAAGAGCAGAATTTGTCGACAGCACTCACTTCAAAACGCCGCAGCAACTGATGGAGGCACACTGCCTGCTGTCGTTCCCATGTGCAGAATCGTGTCCAGCTGACTACAGCAGGCCATGGTAGGCTTCAAAGCCGCTTTTTCCGCAGCATCAGTTGTTAGCAACAAAGGACAGTCCTCAGGAATGGCTTGCACTCTCAAGTGACGGGAGTTGCTTGTCACCAGGTGGGCAGCAGTTGAGATGTGCGGCTCGCGTGAACACAACTACTAAGGAAAGGCTGCTTTGCAGATCAATACAGGGGAAGCTGCCAAGGTCGGCACAAGCTTGCTGGTAAGAAACTACCGAATATACAGCTACAACAAAAACTAAAGGGAACTACACAGGGCGGTCGCTTGACCAGAAACGCAGGTAGCAGTGGTTCAGTAGAACTTAATGACAGCCGAAAAATTGACAAGCTTCGAACTAACGCACGCAAAGGTTCGCTGTCCGGTGCAACGTGAACTGGCCCTGCGCAGTTGGCAGAAAACCCGCCAGCATCTCTGAAACGTCCGCCACTGCCACCTCTAAGCCTCAGGAAAGCAGGAAGCGGAAAAATGAAATGCGTACGCGACTTGTGATTCTTACAACCACAGTGACCAGCTACGCCGCAGCCTCCATTCAGCAGCTGGACTTTCGCGCAGCTTTCTGGTTCGAGCCGGCGACGGTTTCGTTGTGCGTTCGCCGTGAAGCAGCATCGAAAGAAAAAAACATTCACATGCTATTCGCATAATTCAACGAAAACTAATCGAAAGAGCCGACAATCCTCCTAACCTGAACCCCAAGAACCAAAAATGTTCATGTTGATTTGCTTGCCAGAATTGCGGCTCGAACCTGCCCACATGGATCACAGAAATGGAAAAATAAGTAACGAAAAAGCTGGTAGAAGGGCCCCCGTGCAATTGAATGCTAGTCAGAGGAACAGCAAGCCTAAAACGCGTAAATACTAAGGCGCAAACATACGGAAACTAACAAAAATCCAGAAACGGGAAAAATGAGCCAGAAATTGACACGATGACAACGAGACGAAGAACAATGATAAGTAAAAAGACGTCTCACCTGCTTAAAACGCTCAACGCATTCCTTTCGGGTCTTTCCTGGTACATCGTTGGCGATGGCTGTCCAACGTTCGACAGCGGGCATGCTTGATGGGTGCTTCGCAAGTGCCCTTTCAAGAGCCTGCATATCCAAGTACTGACCAGTGCATGCAAAATGATATTATTGTCACTGATCATTGAAACGCGATCACGACTGGGGCCCTCAGTGACTAGTTGCTTGCTGTAGTTTGTGAGGAACTATGGGCACATAACTTACAGACTGCTGCTCCTGAGTCCATACCGAATCACCACCAGCGCTGGCCGCATGGCCAGGCTCTGCTTCCGCTTGCGTTCCGTTTCTCGCTGCTGAACTTGAAGCCGGCGCATGCTGGTGTTTGCTTTGCTCCAGAACTTCCTGTCAAATGCATTTATGACATGGAAGTCCCAATAAATCCCTCCAAATATTCGACGAAAATGTCCACCCCTACCAACTTCCTTTTCTGTCTTTCAAATCCTAAACCCTACACCCAAAGCCCTGATCCATTCGCATTCACGTCTAACAGCCGGTAAAAGCACCGCAAGCACCCTCTGCTTCAATCCCTTTAGAACCACCCCACACGGCACACTGTAAATGCCAACAGGTGAAGCACACTTGAATTCCTTAAGCGAGACCGTCCATACGCTGTAGAACCGGCCCGCTTACTCCCTCGCCGAAACTCACTTGGCTAATTTTAGAGCCCATAGTCTTCAAATTGGCGCTAACGGACATTTCTCTTGCCTTCTGAACAACCTGAATCATCCCAAAACGGCGTAACGGGCACCCACGCACTTACCCAACTCGAACAAATCCAAGTCCAAAAACGACACCTAAAGCCTGCATTCCGTCCTCTACGATTCTGTTTTGCGCACGCCTACCTCATCTTGAGTTTTCGTTCCAATGTAGGTAGCTACTTGGTGCCAACGCCGTGCTGTTCCACCTGGAAATTTCTGCAACGCCTTGGCCAGTAACGAAAGCTCTTCAACTGTCCAAGAGGCTTGCTGAGCCTTCTTGCGCTCTATCTCTTGTCTCCGTCTTTCTTCCTTCATGAAATGTACACAAAAACGCGGACAAGCAACATTAAGCCGTTGGTAACTACAGAGCCAATTTTCATCATAACGCGGAGCTGCTGAATGACGAAGGCAACTGTAGCACAATCACAAGCACAAAGCCGACGCACCTGCACACGTCGCATCTCTTCCTCTGCCGCCTTCTCCTTATTGCGTTTGGCATCTTGGAACGCCCTCCATTTTTCTATATAAAAACCGAAGATCAATTTGCGCTGCTCCTTGGAAGGCGAAATTTCTGCAGGACTGCACGGTTCCCCCGCCTCATCTTGCACTGGCCCCTGCATGTTACCTCAAGCAGACATATCCACTGTAGTAAACAAAGAGACAACACGGGACAGAAACAACAAGACCAGTAGCAAGAACCAAAACCAGGGGCAGCAGAAAGAGGGACACAGGTAGAAGCGGCCTGTGGCACTAGCGCATCCTCTGCCCCTGTCAGTGAGCACCCTGCACTTTCTGCCGGAATTAAAGAGGAGGCAATCTGAGCAAGTTACTCAGGCCCGTACTCCTTATGTTAGAGAGAACGTGCACTTCAGGCCTAACAAACGTGAATACATGCCGCCTGTATATAACACAACTGTAAGCTTAATCCCCACACGTTCGCAGCCTTGCAACAAGCCTCAATAAATAAAAGCTTATTTTCAGAAAAAAGTTAGTCCGCTCGCTCACTTCGAGCTGCAGGAGATCATGGACTCTTTGGAAGAAGATTACTAAGTCCTCTTTGCCCAACTCCATGCTCAGATCCTGAACTTGAGAGGTGCTAAGTTGTTCTGTAAGATCCTCAACATCTCCGAGATTGCGGAAAAACCAGCGAAACTTCTGTCTCCTGAAGCGCAACGCCATCATAATCAGCACTCCGGGGGGACTTTTAAGCCAAAGAGCTGTCACATGAACAGAAAATATGTTTGTTTTTTTTCTCTCGAATGAAACGCCTATGAGCGCACAGGTAGCGTACCACTTCTTGAGGCTCTGCCGCTCCTGTTGCTGCTGCTTCTGCAAGTTCCTGGCTTCTTCTTCGCGTCGCTGGGCGTCCTCTTCCTCGCGTTTTCTGAAGGCATGAGAACAGCAGCAAGCTCTCGGTGCAAGCCCGAAACTAAATCCTGTGACACTGATGGGCTCTCGAGAAGCAGAGACCGGGCCACGACAAACAAAGAGGCAGGGAACAAAGACACGCTGTGAAGCTGCCAGATGCACTTCCGCTCCTCCGCCGCCCGCTTTTCTTCCTCGATTGCGCGCTGCTTGGCTGCCCTCTCCTCTTCCTTCTTTTTTTGCTGTTCTTTCTTCTGCCGCTGAATCCTCGGGTCCCTGTACAGAACAGCGGCAAGCGATGCAACAAGTAAAAAAAACCGTGGAGTGCCAGCTTCAAGCACTGCGACTTGCAGACCCACTACGACTTTTGCGAAATGCTGCTGTTTAGTTACTTACACTGAGTATGCCGTTTCGACAAGTTTCTGGATGCGCGCTCTCTCATTCTTGATGTACTTTTTCCTAATCTTCGCATTTTCCCGTTCCATCCACCTACGCCCCGCAAAGAGGGTGGTAAGCCGAAAGACGCACAAATGGAAACAAGGCCGCATTTGGCTGAACCAACGAGCAACTGTTTATCTCAACAATCCCTGCTGCAGTTTTATGCTTTGGTTGTCGCTGCAAGAAACCCACCTGCGCTCTTCCCTGCATTCAGCATCGTTCAGGTCGTGAGCATCGTGAACGCCAAAGTCCCGCCAGGACTGAAACTCAAACCAAAAGTCGTAAAATCTTTCAACTTCTCTCATCGGTGTCGAGTCATTGCCCAAAGAGGGCACAGGCCTCCTAATCGACCATCTGCAGTGACAGCCCAAAAATCACTATTTAGGTGCAAAGCCTTCATTTTCCAAGACTCTAAGCTGTGGCTCCTCTACTGCAGGCGCCACAGTGTCATTTACACTGCAAACTGCTGAACAGGTAAGAATCAGCCACTCCACTACAACGGCGCAGCGGTCCTATGTTGCTATGTTTCTGTGCATCTCGGCTTGTTCAATGCTTAGGGTGCAGTCTGAGTGTGATGCTCTAACTTTTCATAGAACCCAATGAGGCACTTTCTGCTGGGGCATCTGTTCACCTAGCGTTGCGGTGGAAAGCTGCTCGAAAGGTTTCATAGAATTTTGCACCATCCTCGCATTCAGCTGCATCTGGTATGCTCTCATCAAACGGTAGTGAAGAGTCGTATTGCTTCCTAAAATTACTGTCTGCAGGACACCGCAAAGGCATCGCGCAGCTCATGTGCATAAATCGAAGAAGAAGAGGCTCACGGACCTACCTGAGCTAACGAAGAAAACCAGCTTATGCACAAATACGAAGAGGGAGCCGGGCAAGATGGGAAAGGCAGTGGTGGGGGAGGCCAACACTATCAGCCGCACTTCGACGTCCTACCGCTAAGTGCCTCATATGCCTCCTGGATTTTTAGGAAAGCTTCATGCTCTGAGGAAGGAAGTCCCTCTGCAGCTGCAGAGGTCGGTGTCGCCGTAGTAGTCTCCCCTGAGGGGCTCGTGGCCGCGCTTTTTGCCTTATCCGGATGGTACTCGAGAACCTTCTTGCGATACTGCTTCTTTATTTCGTCTAAACTAGCCCCATCTTCAACACCTAAAATCTGGTAAAGAGTCTGGTCGTAGGCCAGGATTCGTTTCAAATGGGTGCCCGAGGCCCACGATGAGCTGCTGCCTCCGCCACCGCCTGAAGCCGATACAAATCGATATGCTCATGATGTGCAGCGGCGAACTTGCACATAGCATGTTTGCACGCGAGACAAGACACGTGAGGGAACATCGCTGCTGCAGCCGCTACTACAGCTACTGCCTTACCCCCTGGACTCTTATTCTTGCTTTTAGCCCTCCACTTCTCCGTACGCTCATTGTACTCCTCATCTTCTTCTGGGGGAGGGGTGGGGCCTGCAGAACCAGCGGCCGGCATAGGTTCCAGTTCTCAGCTGCATGTATAGTTTAGAAAGGGTAAAAACGGAAACGTACCACCACACGCAGGCTTACTTGTGTCCTGCTTGCGCCGATGCTTTGAGGGTGTGCGCTTCTCATATTTGTCCAAAAAGCTGCGTCCCGCTGGCTCAACTTTCTTGGTAATGGTGCAAATGCTGAGGGCGATTAAGGGCTCTACTGTTTGGCCACCTTCCCGCGCGGCATCGCAAAGCATCAGCAGACGTTCCATTGTTATGACTGCTGACAGTTAGTTTGTACGCCCATCCCCATCGGATATGGCCGCGACAACGTGACTCTGCGTTCCCTTCAGAAGCTTCCGGTACAGCAGCACGTTCACCGGCACTCACAGGCTCCCCACAGCCGTTAGTGTTGCAATCCTTGGGCTCCCATGCAGTAAATGCCAGGAAATCCTTCTTTCCGTGGTGTTTAAGCTTAGGGAGAGCGCATGCGGCAGTCCCGCGGGGTGGGGCCGTAGTTGCGATTGGCCTGTGAAGTGTAAAAGTAGAAAAAAAAACGTCTCTGAATTTGGAATATATTATGGCTTAGTCATAGTTAGTATTAAACTAGAACAAGCCTTTAACTTGTGCCACTTATATCTCTCTACGGCTTGGCGGTTGCTGCCCTCACCTGTGAGCCAAGAGCCACTCAACAGATTGTAGTCAGGCGAGCTGACGAGCGTCAGCTGTTGCTACAATTCACTCTCTTCTTTTTCCGTTAAGCTTCACGCCGGTGGTTTTTGTTACCTTTATGAGCACTTATGTCCGCATCTCTGGCAAGTGTTGCCTTGTGTCGCTGGCTTTCTGTGCGTTGTGTTGTCCTATTGCGACCTGAAGCTGTCGCATGCTTTTTGTCATATCTTCACTCATTTCCTCCATTCAAGGTTATCAGATATAAAAATTGGTATAATTTCGGGTTAAGCGACTCAAAACTACCACAATAGCGTATGGTCGCTGCGTTGGTTGAGTCGACGCTGTCGCCAGCAGTGACGTCCTCGAGCTGGAACCGAAGTTTCGTCCCTGCACAGTCTTCTGTCGCGACCTTCCTTTGAATTTGGCAGTGCGTAACCGCTAACAATGGCTCTCGTAGAGGGAGAGGCCTTTGTGGGATCCGCAGCAAACACACCGGCCTGCGGTGCGGTTTCAAAGGCTGCTTCAGACAGCGATATGGCGACTTCCTGCAGCTCGCCAGCTCTTCCGAAGAACGTGTGCGCTAACACAGGCCCCCCTCCATTCCTAGCCCCCTCTCCACCTTTAGAGTTCGTCGACGGCCTCAACCTCACTGACGCACAGCTTGCCAAAGTGCGTGCGCTGAGGGCCCTCGTAGATGCCTTGCCCATCGTCGAAGAGATACCAGAGGAGGCTCCCGCGGTGAAGGACAAAGGATGGCTGTCTGGTCTGTTCAGCAGGAGCTCTAGTAACGTCACGAAGAAAGAAGTGCGCGAGCTTACGTGGGAAGAGGTGCTATGGCTGGCAAACGACTTGGTGCTTTGGCGCTATCTGAGAAGCTATTCATGGGATCAAAACCAGGCCCAGCAGCAGCTCATGCAGACGATAGCGTGGAGGAGAAACAGAAAGCCGCACTGCATACACCCTGACGACGTAAAGGCCACTGCAGCCAGGGGCAGTGTCTATAGGAAGGGTTTTGACATCCATGGCCATCCCATTGTCTATTTCAAGTAAGAGCTGTCGTTGGTGTAGGCTTGATCCATTAGCTTATTCCAGCTCACGTATTTAGGGCTCACAACCGAGTTTTTTGGCTCGGAGCTTGATTCCCGGTTTTTGCTTGGCTGCGTTTGGCTAACGGTCTTTACGCATGAGCTTTGTTGCGCAGTGGAGCTTAGCGGACAGTTCGCCACAATATAGTTGCCGGGGTGTTATTTTTGATGTGTGTATCAGCCTGCTGCTTACGTCTTGCGGTTCATTTTTTTTCGTTGCTACAGGCCGGGTCGGGAGCCTGCTCAGTCGACGAAAGCTGCGCAAGAATACACGCTGTACACGATGGAAAAGGCCATACAATCCATCAACAAGGCTAAGGGGCGAGACCAGTTAGTGTTTCTTGTGGACTTCACAGGTTTCAGCATAACTCAGGTGCCTTCAATGGACCTCAGCAAGGAAGTAGTCAACATCTTAAACGACCACTACACTGACATCCTTGCGAAGGCGTACATGTTGGACGCTCCAAGTTACTTTGATGCTGTCTGGAAATTTGTTAAAGTCATGCTGCACCCTCTCACGGCCAGCAAGGTTGAATTCATTCAGACGTCAAACAAGAAACAGCTGGCGAAACTCATGGAGCATATTCCAGCGGAGTTTCTCGAGGAAAGTCTCGGTGGGTCTTGCGGTGTCGTTTACGACCACCAGAAGTACTGGATGGCGGAGGATAAATACCACGCAGACATCGCACGACACACGAAGGACACAATTGCCAAAATGAAAGAAGATGAAGCATTCATCGGCCGCTTGCAAACCGCAACCTCACTGCAGCTGGCGGCCGCACAAGAGCCATTGCTTGCCAAGTCTACTACCGAGACATCCGAAGAACAGTAAACTAACAAACAGTGAAGGCTTCATTTTACTTGCCCATACACTGCTGCATCCTGGCGCAGCAGCACCGCTCGGATGGCGTATTTCTGGGTGGTTAAGGAGCAGCACCTGCAGCAGCTTTTGACGTGCCGCTCCGCATGCTCACTTTTGCTTGCTGGCTTGTTTGAGCCTGTGGCCATGTTGGCTCATAGGTAAAGCAGGGAGAAAGCTGGTTGGTCGTTATTATAGGGTCTGCTAGCACAGATCTCCTCTACATTTGACTTGCGATGCGTTTCCTGTGAGGTGTCTGCACTCATCTTGAGCATGCGTGTACGATTTCCAATATATCGTACAAATTTTCGGTTTTTACTGTTACAGCGTAATGTAGGCCATATTTATCGACGCAGTTGTGCCGTTGCTCTCTTGGGTTGTTTCTGTAGTCGTAGGTGGCGAGATACGCAGTTGGAGCTAACCTTTAGATAGGCGTGCTGCTACAGATACTTTTTTTGGTCAGCAACGCCACACATGTTGATTAACGAATTTGGCCAAGGCGCCTCGGATGATTCCATAGCAGGAGTGGGCTTTCAAGCGTAGTTTGCATGGGGAGTGTTGGCGAGGTGCGCCGTAAGAAATACGCACGGATTTGCAATTGGCGCAATTTGCTTCCCTAGTAGTGCAGTCTCTTGTGCCATGTTTAACGCAACGAGGGACTGAGCATGAGTTACCTTCAGATTGACAGAAGTTTCGTTTGAAGGGAGTTGTGAGCCGTCTGAGTTTGTCAGCAGCTAGTCCTGTTTTCAAAACGTACACATACAAACGTAGTGGGATCACGACACAAAACCACGGGTTCCAAAGGGGGCTTGCTCAAAGCTCATTTGCGCGCTGTTGATGGGTTTTCCACCATCTCGAGTTCAGAGCGATGTCAGGGCGTGCGCCGCTGTGCGGTGGCCCTCCTGAAGGCCCGGGACAGCTAATGCTTTATGCTTCTGTATTCTAGTGCTCTGCAGAAGAACCCATGAATGGATGAGTGTGAAGGGGCAAGCTCTGGTATGTGAATCCCGTATTCACTGCACCAACGCGGGAGCTCTGATGATGTTACAAGCTGGGTTCCAGCAGCTGCAGCAACAGCGGCAGCTCGTTTGCTGCTAGTTGCCTACACATGGGCATGTAGAAGGCACAATGCTACAGGCTCAGGAGAAAAGCTCATGCTAATTACTTTGCCGGGTTGCCAATTGTTTGGTTCCTGGCCGCCACCGTCGAGCTATCCACCCGAGTCAGAGGATTGGTCGTAGGGGGCTCTTCAGCAGGCACTACGGTGGCAGGCCTGCTGAAACCTATGGCGGCCGGCGTGAGCATTTGGCCTGGTGACGCTGCCTCATTAGGAGGCCTCCATGATGGGTGCTGTTGTTCCACTTTCTGCATTGTAGGGACTATTGGCGGGGGAGATGGTGGAATGGGAAGCTTCATTGGGACCTGTGGAGGCCCTCCTAGCATCTCCGCGCCTGCGGACAATGAAGATGGTAGTAGCTGTGCCGCTTTTGTAGCTGAAGCGGAAGTGCCATGAAGGGCAGCTGTTGATGGGAGATTGGGGTGCCCAGATACAGGTGCTCGGGGGAGCCCGCTGGCCAGAACTGAAGTAAACACAGGCTTCGTGGTTGCGGCGGAGAATGTACTGGGTGGGTTGAACTGGCCATCCGCCAGAAACCCAGGCCCCTCAGCAGGCCGTGGGAGCGGCTGTGGGCACTTAACTATTCCTTTGAAGGCTTCTGTCTCCCCTGCATTTGCCTGTGCAGGGGACCTCCTGGTTTGTGGGCTATTTTGCGCAGCAGTGGGAGATGAGGAACTTCCTCCCTTGCTATGAGGTCCCATAAACTGTTGCAAAGCCGCAGCTGAGCTCTCCGTCACACCTACAGGTGCCGAGGAAGTAAGTGAAGTTTGGGGTTGCAGCGTCGGCATCCTCAATGCCCCCTCCAACTGCTGCCCTTGTGAAGTGGAAGGCTGCTGTAGTGCTGACCGCGGTGCCTCAGCAGCCCCTTCAGCAGGGCGAATTAAGGGTGGAAGGAGAGGGGAAAAAGGCGGCCGAAACGGCCCTCTCAGTGCACCAAAGGGGCGGCCGCTTAGACTCCTCATCATGCTGGGATTTGCAGACACTGCAGGGGTCTGGCTTGGCAGCGCAAGAGCTGGGTTGACGACGCCGGCGGCGGGAATAGAAGCAACAGACTCAAGGGATCCACCTGGCTGCGTCTGTTGAGCGCTTACCGGCTGCCTCCCCGGCACAGGGACAAAAGCTGAGGGCCTTCTGGCAGGCAGCATCACCAGTGGTGCCCCTGGAGGTCGAAGCGGCGGTGGATGTCTCGTGAACGGGACAGAACAGACAGAAGGATCTGAAGGCTGGGCAGACGGAGTAGGACCGTGGCTGGCACATGGCCCTGGGGCCCTCCAGGGTAGAGGCGACTCTCTTCCTGATGAGGGATAAATTGATACAGCCAAGGAGCTGGTGGAGAAGCTTGGAGTTGAGGGTCTGCTGAAGGCAGGTGCGGGCAGCCACTGGGCGGAGCGCAGGGGCCCTCCAGCAACATTGGGAACATTGGGATGGTTTAAAACGGTTGCATTATCGTGTGTTGGTGGTGCTAACGGCGCCGCTGCTGGTGCCGCTGTCGGTATTGCTGTTGCACCTGCTGCTGCTCGTGCTGTTGTTGTTGGCGTTGCTGGTGCTGCTGTTAATGCTTTTGTCCCTGATGCTTGTGCTGCTGGTGCTGGTGCTGATGCTTTTGTCCCTATCGCTCGTAGTGTTAACGCAGATAATTCTGCCAATGCTGATGCTGATACTGTTGGTGCCGATGCTGCGCCTGCTGCTTGTGCTGATGCTGCTACTGCTGTCGTTGCTACCGGCGCCGGCGCCATTTTTACTGTTGCTGCTCTCGCCGGTGCCGTTGTTGCTGGCAATATCAGAAATGGGGCTGCTGGCGCTGGCCGTAGTAGTGGTGCAGCTGCTGCTTCTGCAGGTGGCGCCGGTGCCATTTTTGCTGGCGCGACTGGGGCCGCTGGTACTGCGCGAGCCGGTGCAGTTGCTGCTGCTGCTGTCGCTGCTGGTGCTGGTGCTGCTGTTACAGGTAATATTGGATTAGGTGCTGGTGGCGCTGTTGGTTTTGCTAGTGCCGTTGAAGGCTCTGCTTTTGGAGAGGCCGTTGAGGGCCACTTGACAAGAGGAAGCCTACCCGTTGGCAGCAGCGAGGCGGGGAAGGAGAGGCTTGGTATGTCACCCCCTTGACCTGCACTGCCTTGACTAGCATTAGGCGGCCGTGGGTTTATCGATACAAGCAAGCTCCCATGACTGTGGGAGCCTGGAGCCTTACGTGGGACTGTGAGCCTCACGGGTTGCTGGCTGCCTTCCGTGTTTGCAGTGACAGAACTTGAAGGGAGCCCGACAGGGAGAGGCGACCTCGGGTTGAACATGGGGGAAGTCGCTGCAGCAGCAACTTTTGCTGCCCCATCTTGTGGTGAGTCCACTGTCTGTCTTAAGTGGTTTACATGCTCCAGTGTAGGAGGCCTCTGTGCTTCCCCAGGTGCGGCTAAGGGTAAGGACCTGAATGCCGTGACAAGTGGGGTTCCACTCCTATACGCCGGGGATGTGACGACTGGAGATACATGTTTGGTTAGTTTAGGTCCACCAGGGGCGGCTACGGGGTTCGACCAACTTGAAGTCAATTGTGTGGCTGATTCTATGCTTGTAGAAGTGTTTGGGCAAGGAGGTAGGGATGGTAGTCTTCGGGACTCTCGATCCGAAGAGGCTGTTGGTGACTGTGTAGGGAGCGGATCTTGACTATTTCTTCTGGAAATAGAGCGCGGAATTGCAGGGACAGGGGAAAGAGACACACCAAGTGGCAAAAGGGTTCTCACTGGTGAGGAGTCGCCTGCTTTTTCACATATTGGCATCATGCTGGGGGCACCTGATGCAGGACCATAAACTGAAGCACCAGAAGGCCCATGCAACATTGACATCACAGCGGATGCTGGCCGACAGACTCCAGCGGCACCTGGGGAGAACAAGGAGGGGTTCCGAGAAATGTTGGAAGGGGCTGTTCTAGGAGGCAATACCCCATTAGACTGGAATGACTTGACTGGAGGCCTGACACCGTCTACACGGAGCTCAGCCGCTAAGTGGGATGCTGTTGTTTCTTGTACTCTTCCTGCTCCCTCTCCTGTTGCTGGTGCTGGAGCGTTTGCTGCTGATGATGCCAATGCCGACTGCCCATCAGATACATAGCTGGAAGGAAGCTTGACTAATGGCGCCGCAGCGCTTCCCTGCAGCGTCTCCTGGAGCTTAGGGACCTCTGTAACTGGAGAGAACGGGCGAGAGAATGTCCTAAGGGAAGATTCTGGGGATTTCCTGTAGGGAAGAGGCGCGGTGATGGGAGCGTGCTTTACAACTACGTTTTCTATGACAAGGGGCTCCTCCATTTGTTCTTCCGAAAGCTTCTTGGTTGCAACCGAGTCCAATGCCCCAGAAAAGCGGTTAGTAGCAGGTGGGGCCCCTCCTAGACTATGCCCCACAATCTGCATGCGCCAGCTGCTCTGGCCAGGTGGCAACGGAGTCGTCGATACCCTTACCGAGCAGCCCGAGCTCATAGAGGGGAAGCTTCCCCTTGAGTTCTCCTTTGGGCATACTGTTCCCCCTTCTGTAGTGCTTTGAGCTTTCCGTTCACTCCCTTCCATGGTGCTGCTTCTGCTTGCTTTGGCACTGCTTCTGCATTCAGCGTTGCTGTTATTGCGAACAGCTGCATTTGCGATGTTGTCATTTTTGGCGTCGTTGGCCCGGCCATTGCTTCCCAGTGAAGTGCTTAGTTCTTCTGACGCAGAGAGCTGAACAGTTCTTGCAACTGCATTCGCTTCCTCCTTTACCGCACACGAATTCTGCGTAGTTGCCCCTGGGAGGTCCTCTGTTTGAGCCTTTGAGATGCCATTACATGGTAGATTGGTTTCTGCCTGAATGTGTGTCCTTGGAAGTGTTGTGGCCCCCAAGAACTCTTTTCCCCCTCGAGGCTTCTTTTCTCCTTCTTCATTGTCCGAGCGACCGCCGCTGTGGAGCGCCGCAGACGCTGATCCTAGCTCTATCTGTTCCTGCAGGGAATTTGTGGTACCAAACGACGGATCACTCCCTTTTCCTTCAGTAGGCGCAACTGGGGAGGCAGGTTGACTTGCCGGTGGAGGCTGGAGCTCTGCAACTTCCTGTTCAACCGCTCTAAAGGACTTCTCTGCATTGCTCATGCAGGCGACAAACTCAGCAGCAGGCTGTGCACCCTGTGGTAGGTTTTGCAAGGCCGTACAAGGGGCTGGGAGAGTGGGTGAGCTTATGGCGAGCTCCTGGTTTGGAAACAAATGAACGCTCTCCCGTTGATTCTTCTCCCCTGCTCCGCTCAAAATGCTCTGCGGATCCAGCGGCACTGCAAGACGGTTGTCTTCTGGGCTATCGAGAGGCTGTGGGGGATCTGCAACTGTCTCCTCTGCCGGCGCATTGCTCACAGTGTTGGCGGCACCAACGGCAAGAGGTTCTGCGACAGGACTAAGGGGAGCAACAGGGTCTCCAGAGACTGCCAATACTGCCTTTTCCGCGTCTGCCACGCATCCTGCACTTGCGACGTTCTGACGCTGACAAGCAGCTTGGGGTCTCTTCAGGGCTAGGTAAGAGCTTGGTGGAGGATCGGCGAAGGCTGCAGAGCTTTCCTTACTCTTACACAGCGTCGTTCCACCTTGAGATCCAACAGAAGGAAGTGGCTCTGCGTCGCTGCTTGACACTAGGGCTACCTTTGCGCTGGAAACAGAGTGCGCTTCCTGCTCTGGCTGCGTCGGTGCTGCTGTTGCCGGAGTGGGTACTGCTGCACGTTTACCTGATATGTCTGCTGCTGCTGTAACGACGGTGGCATCTGCTGCAGACTTTGCAGGGGCATGCATTTGGCTGTGATCTGGTGGTATTGCGGTGGCGGTAGCTTCTTCAGGGAAGTGGAAGTTCCCTGGAAGCTCTTCAGCAGTTTCCACACCAGCTGCGCTGCCTTCTCTGTCTTTACTCGGCACCTTGATAGACTCGTGCGTGTTACCTTTCAAGGGCTCCTGCAGCTCCAGTCGGACGCCAAGCGGGAATGTGGACGCTACATCGATGACCTTGCGGTAGTCTCGAGAGGTCGGAAGGTCAATGCTTTGACCACCGGGCAATAATTCGGACTCACGATCAGCTAGATCTCCGCAATTAGCAGGGCAGTTGGATTCTCCGGCTCCCGTCGCTGCAAGTATTTTTGGGTGGGGTTTGGTCGCCGCCACTTGGGCTGCCTCTCCCGTTTGTACGACTCTGAAGACTTTGGCTTCTACAGGTTTACAGAGAGCTTCAGGCTCATCACCGTTCGATGCTGCACTGTTTTGTCTAGCTAGCAAATTGTCATGGACTGTAGGGACGTTAGAGATCTGTGGATCTGTCTGAATCTCTGGGGCAATGGCGTCTTCGTAGCGTTTGACGTCTTCGAGGACCTTTGGGGCCCTAAGGACCTCAAAAGTTTCGGAAGCCTGAGAAGCGTTTGGAGAACTAGTGACATTGAGTATCTCCGGAGCCTCGAAGACCTTGTGAGCCTCACTTGCCTCAGCGGCCTCAACTTTCCCAACAACTGCAGACGTTTGGGGAACCTCATGAACGTTGGAAGACTTTCCAGGAGCCTGAGGCGAGTTGACGACTTTAGATGCATCAAAACCCTTATGAGTCTCAGTCTCGGAGGCCACAGGAACCTCTTGGACTGTAGTGTGAGCTTCAGTGCTCAGCAGCCTAGCAGGAGGGCCATTGGTAGCCTCTGCAAAGGAATATGATTCTTTAACTTGCCTCGTGCTATCGTCGGGCACGGCCTTGATGGGACCTTTGCCTGTTGCAAAGTTTTTGGGACACTGGCCTTCACGATATTCAGGCAGGAGCGTCTCTGTTTCTCCGGAATTTGCCCCTAGGCTCACAGTTGCTGCTACTTGGAAAGGCTGTACGGGTGTAGCGGAAGAGGCACAGCCCCGTCCGAGAGGCTGCCAAGCGTCCGCTTTTTCTTGTTTATCTCCGTCATCTCTAGAGCGTTCGCCTTTTAGTGCTTCCTCCCTCTGGAAGTCCTGACTTCGGGGGAATGGCTCTTCTGTGCTGCTGTCAGTTCGGGACTTCCGAGGGTCTGCAGGCGTTGTGGCACTTGGATCTGTGGCATTCAGTTCCGTAGCACCAGGAGAGCTCTTGCTTGTTCCTTTATTCTCGTCTCCTTGCTGGGTCGATATACCATAAGGTTCCATCTCCGTGTCTTCCTGCACATCTCGGTCTGCTGCTTCCCGCGAAGGTGACCTCATTTCTCCTGGGTCTTCAAGGTCGCTTGGGAGCCCACGTGATGGCGATTGAGGGAGCCGCTTCGCGACGGGCGAACTTCCTTTTGAAAGCTCAAGGCGACCATCGTGAGCACCTACAAGTCTGGCATCCAGTGCTTCCTCTGTCTCCATCTGACCCTTCGGTGAAGCTTCCGTCTCTGCTGCTGCTGGAAGCGACCATTCAAAGCTCTCTCTTTGAACTGCTTTGGCAACAGCAGGAGAAAGCAGAGCTACATGCCCAGGAAGAACATCAGCGGCCTTTGTACCAACCATTACATCACTGAAGGCTTCGTGCAGCTGCGGGCTCCAAACGCTCTTGTTCTCCGAATGATCTGGAGGCATTTCGCTGTTATTCTGGAGGATGTGGCCTTCTGCTGTCTCTATTCTACTCTGTGTTTTCTTGCCATCCAATGTGTCTGTCGCGCTTCGGTCAATGTTCTTTTGTAGATTGTTTCCACATACAGCATGCATAGTTTCCTCCTTGGCGGTATCTTGTCTGAGCCTCTTTCCTGTCAGATCTTTGAGGTTGCTGGAGGAAAATTCGCACCTAATTGGGAGCGTTGTAGCCGATTTGCAGGGGTCAGGGTCTTGAGCCGCCTCACTTTTAAGGTAGTCTGTGCGATCAGTGACAATCAAAACGGCAACAACAGCAGCCAACCATCGGTAGGAAGACAGAGGCTCTACAGATTCAAAAGGGGAAACTAGCTAGCTGGCTCGCTGGTTACCCGGCTGATAGTTTTACTACGGAGAAAGAAGCCCTAACAAGGGAGGGAATGGAGCCGCCTTACGCACTCGTCCCTTCCACAGCAGTAATTCTTTTCTGGCCATCTACTTCACCTGCAGCAGATGTCGCACGTATCCCAGCGGCCAATAATAGGTTAAGGAGACTGTCATATGCGAAAGCACTGACACCCTCTGCTGGCCCAGTTACAACGAGTACATTTACCGCCAGCTACGGCTTTCTGAGGACTGTACGCAGTGTATAAGGCTGCAGGTGTTGCTCCTGGTTTTGCTGATTCGTAGTGCTGTGCCTCTCTTCAAGAGCATTTTGTTAGCTGGGGCTTCAGAGGCAGTATTTTTGGGGGCTCGCCTGTTCTACCGGCTGTGTTTTGTTCCTCTTTTTCTAGTGGCTGCCGCCATGGCTTCTCATCCGCTTCATTCTGCATTTTCACACAAACCTAAACTGTCTCACTCATCAAAATGACCTAAAAAGTTCCTATGGAGTATTATTTGCCAATAAAAACACAGAAACACGGTCGTCTTTCCCATATCTGTTAAAGCTCCCACTAATATCAAAAAGAAGCTACTCACACTCGCCCCATCCCTCTGGAATGTACGGACATTTGCTTGTGTTTCTTGTGCAGCGTCGTTTTTTTCCGTTTTTGCTTCTTGTGCTTCTGCGCCTGTTTCCGTTGACTCAGCCTCTTCAGCTGCGCATGCGACTACGCCTGCTTCCGCTCTTGTCGCGCTGTTTGCTCCTGCGTCCGCAGCGCTCATCTCTGTTGCAGCTCGTCCTAGGCCTGTTGCTCCTAGTGCTGCCTCTGGTGTCTTTCCATCTGCCTCTTTTTCTCTTGGGTTGTCACGGCCTCCATTTGGCGCTCGTAAGGCTAGATGCAGTGCTTCCACCGGTGTTGAAGCTGCCTGTTCTCTATCCAAGGCTGCCTTTATTGCTGCTGTATGTGAGTCTGATAATGCTTGACTCCCCACGGCTGCGCCTGCTTGAAGCGCTTCTACGTCTGCTGCACCCGCATCTGGTACTTTGATATCTGATATTTCGGCTGGCGCGCCTTCAAAGGATACGCCAGCTACCGCTGCATCTCTTTCTGTCTCCCCTGGCTCCCCATGATCCCCTGCCACTTCATCAGCGCACAGACCATCTGCCGGAAACGAGCTTACACCTGCGGCCAAAAGCCTCTGATGCTCTGCTCCACATTCCTCTTCAGCTGATTTGTCCAAAGCACTTTCTGCAGCAAAAGTTCTTCCAATCGCTACAATAGACGTCGACGAACTTGAGCTGGAACCAGCTACAGTTGCTGCTGCTGCGGCTTCCTCTAACGCCACTGCATCCTCTGTTGCAGGCGTTTCCTCTGGCAGGGACCCGTAGACATCTGCAGCAGGCGTCACCACACCGCCTGCATCTGCTGCGTCGACAGCGTGCCCTGCAAAAGCGTCCACTCCCTCTGCTGCTGCTCCTTCTGCTTGAACAGCTGCTTCCTCTGCAACTGTTCCTGCAGCTGTTGCATCTGCAACTGCTGCATCTGCGACGGCGTCTGCGGCGCTTGAGTCGGAAATCACTCCAGTTGCTGCTGCTCCGAATTCGGCTAGTGGTACTCCATACTCGTCGGCTGGTTTCTTCTCTCGCACGGACGCAAGATGTGTTGTTGTCGTCGCTAGGGTGAGGGAATCTTTGCTCCGCCGTTTGGGCTTTTCTTCGGATGATGCAGATTCGTTGTTTTCAGCTGCTGTGTTTGCGACATCAGTTCGAGTGAAAATAGATTCTGCCGCATGAGCTTCTTTAGCAGGGGCTTCTGCTGTTGCGATATCTGCTGGAATGTCTGCGGATGCAGCGTCGTCTGTAGGCTCTGCAGCAGTTGCTGGTGTAAGGACGGCCTCAGCGGCCTCTTGAGTAACCGTATGAGCTGATGGTACCTCTGTAGAACAGCGAGCCACTGCTTCCCCAGCAGTAGCACCAACAGAGTTTGCAGGTCCGAAGTCCGCAGCTGCTGCAGCAGCGGCGCCTGCCGATGCAGTGGCTTCAACTTCAGATGATCCGACCCTATTGCAGTCTGATTGCCATTCGGCTTCCCCAACGTCGAAGATAGAAGACACTAAGTCATTCCGTGCAGCGTTTTGGAATTGCAGAGTGCTGCTATGGGATGGCTTCTGCATATTAGTAGACTCCGCTGTTCCCAGTTCATTTGGAGAGATCCCTGTAGCATGAAGGGTAGCCCCATTCTCTTTGCTTTCCGTTATTTGCTTCGTCGTTTCTTCCTTCTCGCTATCCCTGATGGTTGGTCCCTTTCGAATCCCAGTGTCATTTCCGGCATCCAAAAGCTCCTTAGCATTTTCGTCTACAGGAGCATTCCCATTGTTGTTCTCTGCTCTCGTATTACAGCCATTGCTGTCAGCGGCGCCGCTCTGCTGCATATGCACGTAGATATGATTAATCAGCACCAGATTCAGCGAAGGAAGCAGCTGACAAGTCATGATTTGTCGCTTACGCTTTACACTTAATTATTTAGGGTCTGTAGGCCTGACGGCACAGCTTACTGTGACTGCCGCTGATCTTGCTAATGCCTGACCTTGGAGACCAGGCGCAGCTATATCAAGCGCAACAGAGCCCCCCGGAAGCTCTGGGGATGCTACAGGATCAGGGCTGTTTTCGTTTTCATTCCATTCTGTGTCCGCTTCTCTCAGCAGCTGCCAGGCCTTCGATGCAGTTCCTTGCCGTTCTGCCTGCACAGGAAGGATGCTACGTGGAGCTGGCACTAGAAATATAACACAGAATGCGCAACGGCGCCAACAGACCGAAGGGAACTAGCAGCAATACTCACTATGGATGCCCTTCTAAAGGCCTCGCTGGTTTGGGGAGGCGCATCCTCCACTTCCCCCGGCAGCCCCCCATCACAAAAGCTAACTCGGAAATGGCAGCGATTCCGCTGGCCAGAGTGGCTTCCTCCAGAGGATTGCTTCTGCATACTGTCTTGCGTCCCAAAGGACCCCTTAGAACTTTCGGCTTCAAAATTAACTCTGGAGTCGGCATCCCGCTCATCGGATGAGAGAGACGCCATTTCAGGCATATCCGTAGATTGTAGATTTTGATTCTTGGCCATTTGCGCACGACTCTCTGCCTCAAGAGCAACAGCTGTAGCAGCTGCAATAGCAGCAGTGCTGATCATTGCTTCTACAGCTGCAGCGTCGGAAGCTTCTTCCGGTCTACTGCGGCAGTCCGAAGTGGATGACGGCACTTGCACCGAACCCTCGGAGGTTGCCGCTGGCTCACCTTTTAAGAAAACTTCCGGGGTAATGACCGAGCCTGAGTTTGAAGGTCCGCATATAAGACTAGAGTCTTTGCAAGAAGTGGCGAGCTCAAGTTCACCCCTATGGCTTGGCCTGTCGACATCCGGCTCCTTCACTGTGATACTAATGCTTTCACCAGCATCGGGCCGGTCACCCACGCAAGTGTTGAAAGCTCGTGAACAAGTGCCTTCAGCCTCAGGCTCGCCTAAAGCGTTAGCCTCTACTGCTCCTGTGTCAGCCATTTCCTTAACTGATAAACTTGCGGGGTTGTCAGCGCTGAGACCTGCAAGCATTCCCGTGCGTACTTCTTTGTTTTCTGTACCTGCAGCTTGCGATTCGTCACGTGGAAATGGGATAACAGTGCCGCTTTCTCTGTTGCCGTCCTCTACTGCCGGTGGTGACGGCAACGCAGGGTCCCCCTCCGCAGTTGGAATGCTTGCTTGCTGTACTGGTTGCTGTCGGTCAACTGGAGAGTGTTTAGTGGCATCTTGTCCATGTGCTTCACTTGAACTGGTCAACGGCAAATTTGAGGAATCGGCCGCGATGTTCTTTATTTTGTCTGGACTCTCCCTCGGGCCGTCACTGCCTCTCTGTGCCTGCAACATCTCGCTTCCCTCCCCATTAAGAAATGCTGCCTCACCAGACAAGCCAACTATATCGGCCTGCTGTCTCTCCGATTTGTGGCTTTCTTCAGCATCAAGTGGAGAGTCGTTGTCCATACCATTTTCCAGCGCCGCTTCTAGAGCCTCTTCTACCTGTCGCAGACTTTCCTTGTCAAGGCGCGCAGCAGCCTCTGCACAGAGAGGGAGCACCTCTCCCGATGTTTCTTTTTCACTATGCAATTCCTGCAAAAAATACACAGATTTGTGTGGCCCCGACCTTGGTGCTTTTCAATGCCCAGATATTCTGTAAACAATGCTGGCCACGCGTAGCAACGACGGAAAAGTTAGCCTACCGCGGCAACAGCCTGAAACCCATTTGTCGAAGTTTCAGTATTGCTGTCTCTTTGGACTGCTTCCTCTCCCGGTCCCCGCTGTAACTGCGCTGGCGTGGCGGTTTCTTGGCCTTCTGTTTCAGGGGAACCTGTGGCGGGTGTGGATGCGTTAGATGGGGAGGGCGGGATAGACTGTTTTTGTCGAGCAATCACTTTTCGACCCATATTCGATGAGCTCGACAATCTCTTCCGAGCTGTGATTCTGACTTCGTTCTGGCGTTGGCTGGACTGTGGGGAACTACCGGGACAGGCAATTGTTGCTGCTCGATCTCGACCAATCTTAACAGGCCCGTTGTTTCTGGCAAGAACACTCGTTGTGAGTCCCGTCTTGGGGCTTAGTTGCCTTTCAGTCTGGCCCAGGTAGAGTTGTATTTCTGGTGAGGCCTCATACACCGTGTCTAAATTAAGGCTAACTTCTGATCGAGCCGTTCCTGAGACCGGCCGTGCGGTGCTGGCGGCAGCATCTGCACAATTCAACGCAGAATTTCATTTCCGCACACTAAGCGGCAAGCGCTAGCAGTTCTACTAATTGTAAACTACACGTGAGAGCAATCGTTGGTTTTCTACCTAAATTTCAGCTTGCGCTCTGCAGTATCCGTGCAGACGTTATAAACTTGAGGAAGCGCCTGCCTTACGAGCTTCTGTCGCGGAAGCATTTGCGCCTTGCCCAAGTAGCGATCTATTTTCGCTGTCCCTTTGTTCTCGCTTTCTCCTTTTTAAAAATGATTGCGCTGTCCGAGTGCGTAACTCATTGTCTGTCAAGGGCCAGTCGCAGTTGTCCACATTGTCGGAGTCACTGTCACATCGAGCTGCAGAAAGGTCCTTGGGGCGCAAAATTCCACTTGTATGGCTCCGTGGGCTTGCTGTTGGCTCTGATGAAGATCCCTGTCTTGAAATGCATGCAGGTTCCTGATCGTCCTTACTTTGTGGCGGCAAAGACACTGTTGAGCCTGCTCGTTCGGATTCTTTTCGCAGGCAGTCACCTCGCGTGGAAACGTTACTTTGGCGCACTTCAGCGAGCTTTGATGCGACAAAATTTTCGATGTACTGCAGCATATCTACAATGGAAGGGCTGGCCACGTCGTCTGTCACAGAGGTTCTTGGCGAAATCTCACTCCAGTGGTTTTCAATGCAACGAACGCATTCTACCAAGTGTTCTTTGCCTTTATCTATGCCCTCTGTCTGTGCAGCTATCCTTTCTTCCTTCAGCTCAGCTTGTTTTGTAATGCTTTCTACTTGATCTGTCACATCCTTTAGCAGATCTTGAATGATTTTTTCGGCTTTGCTCCCGTGCTCGATGTGCATTTGGATGCGATCGAGGATAGCGTTTTTGCGGTGCTCCATTTCTTTGATTTCTTGGTTAATTGTATTCACATACGTTATGACACTGTAATTTTTTTCTTCTAACAGCGTAAAGATACGAACAATCTCGTCGGCGTCTGTAGAAAAGGCAAGGACATCAGTTGAGTGCATAAAGCATTCAACCCCCTCAAAAATTCTTACTTTCATCCCGCTGTGCATAGCGACAATTGAGCAGAGAACTTATCCGACATTCTGTGGACTGCGATGACAGTCAGTAAACGCACTCACCCGATATTCCTGTGGATTCCTTGATAATATCCATTGCCCGCTCGAATACATCCACTTGCTTCCTGTGCTGACGGATGACAAACCTCTGCATAGTGTTCAGCAAAGTGGTTTTTAGTATGTTCTTCATTAAAATTTCGGGATCAGTCAACCGTTCTTCCTCCGACACAGTGAATGCATTGCACTTGATTTGAGCTCGAATATGCTGATTGTCTCTGTCCGATTTCGCCTCTAGCTCCTTCAGCATTCTATCCTGGAGCAGTGGGACGGCAGCCCGCAAATCGGTGCAACTGTAGAAGTTCTTAGTTCTTAATATACCCAACTTATTTCACTCACACTAACTGAAATCCGAAAACCTTACTCGTACTGGTCCTTTCCGTATCTTCCATTCGCGGCTTAGCAGATAAGCGGGCAAACACTGTCAAGGGGCTGGAGCGCGAATCTTACGTGATCTTTTATCAGTTTCTCTTTCTGCGCAGTGGCTTCTCTGAATTCTTCCCTCTCTTTTTCCCTCAGCTTGCATAGTTGCTGTTTGTGAGAAAGTGCCCGTTTTTCTTCTTTTTGCTGCTTCGCCGTTTCTTGTCTTAGCGCATTGAGCTGTCCTTCCTTTTCTTTAATTTCTTTTGAAAGATGCCGATGGACTTGATCGAGTGACAACCGATCCTTCCTATGTTTGTCAATAGCTGTACGAAGATCTGCAATCTCTGCTATGGCTATGTTATGTTTAGACGTTTCCTGGGCAACTCGGTTTTCCAACAGTAGTAGGCGCTGCTCTGCCTTTTCAAACTCCTTCCGAGCGTCTGCCTTGTTAAAGCGATAGCGGGCCCTTTTCTCGTGGTATTCGGCCTGAGCTTTCTCTGAAGCGCCAGCAAGATCGTGGAGTTTCCGCTTCTCGAGCTCGAGCTTCCTTGTGGTTCGTTCAATGGCGGCTTGAACCGCTGCCAGGTTCTCGTCATTGCCCTGAGTCATAGGAAAGGACACAGGGGCCCTTCCACCAAGCACACAGGTCGCGTGCTCCTCTTTTGCCATTATGGCTGCCTCTTTTCAGGTCAATGCCATGGCGGAGCGAACTCGACGCAGTGCTTAGGCCGTCAGAGCTGGTAGGCAGTGTCTGCCTGGAATTAGACCACTGGAAGGCTCTTACTAAGGAACCACCACTAATCCCTTTTTCAGATGAAAGCCAGGGGACATCTGCGAGGGCAATCTGCCTTTTCTGTGCTAACGCCTACGCATGCTCTCTCTGCAAGCGAAGCAGCGGCGCCCGTAGGCCCCACGCTGTGCTATAGTGGATGGCAGATCGTGTGCAACTGGTAGTGGCTGGATCCACCAATGAAATAAGTTGCATTTTTTTGTATTTTCTGTCTGGCGCTGCAAAGCATTAAATCCCCAACTCGATCTGCCGGCGCATCGATAGGAGCCCATCGCTGTGAGGACAGCGGTGCATTGCAAGACTCAGTGGGACGCCAGTAAAGCTACACGGGCAATAATGTCCAAAAATACGAAAGGCATCTCCATAGCTCTGCTTAATTCAGAGTACACGGGGGACTGCACTTTATTTGCCGTGGAGCCGTGTCCACCATGGTGGACGACTGTCGCCTGAGGTGACCCAAGAAGTGACCCCGGACCTAGAAAGTCATTCATCCAAGCCCATGTCTCTTCCTGAAGTCCACCTATCAGAATATACGCAGGCATACGAAGATTTTCGGGGGCAGACGCCACTGCTTGTACGATTCCCACCACAGCATGCAGGGAAAAGGATCACGAAGCGGCTCCAACTGCATTCTACCTCCTTCCTGCAGTGGCTTGTGTAGAGATTGTATCTCATCAAAACTAAAATAGTCAAATTTGTTGGAAATTTATTTTTCTCTGGTCTAGGCGCTCCCCTATGATCTTTCAGCTAGTGACTAATAGCTGAAAGAGCCCTGCGGTCAAGATAATCAGTGTCGAATGAGCTCCTTAGGTTGCCTTTATATGGAATATAATCTAAGTGAATAATTTCGTATGGAGGTCGGATCTATGCGCGCTTGTTGAGCTGTTCGCTAGACTACCTTTGGAAACTCTCCCGGCGCAGCTCGTCTCCACAAAGAAGAAAAGCATCAAAGCCTTAAGACGTTCTACGAGAAACGTGGGTAGAAAGTGTCAGTGCAAGCATTAGTACATGGGTCCCTTGGGTGTACTGCACAAGAAAACAAAAGAGTGCTTACACACGACATGGGACTCAATGAACGCGAAGCGTGGTTTGTACAGCGCGAAATTAGCACTGACCGCATGCGCCAGAGCTATCGTATTTGGGGTTTTCACATGGCAGATAATGGCACGAGGCGAGCAAGAGGAGGAGGCGACTCTCGTGCCTCCACATGAGCTGCATGAAACACTAATGAACTAATAGAACACCAATACAGCATACACACACACACTCGATAGTAACACCATGGGCTTAAGGCGTGAAGACGGTTGGCCCAACACCCAGGCGTGCCGTAGTAGTTCGACCTCCCTCACATCCCCCTTCTAAACCTTTTGGCTCGAGGTGGCAAAGTCCAACGCCGAAACCCATCAAGCAAAAATTCCTATACGACGCTCCTCGTCTGCGGTTTCCATTTCTGCTATGGAATTCGTACTTCCCGCAATTGTCTGGTGAAAGGTGCACCTCCAACAGTTAGTCTCTCTAAGAATACGGACAGACACCCGCTTACCTACGGATTCGTTGCTTAGCCTGTCACTACACAGAACCATGAACTTTCATTCTCTGCGGAACCTCACTATACTCCAACAGCGAAGATCCATACATTGCCTCCCCCTCCAAAGCTGCCTTCGTTCAGGTTATACAATGCCACCACTAATTCCAACGTTAATCTACATCCTATATACAGTTTCTTTTTGCTGGCTCAATCCAGCAAAATTTTACATAGGATGCCCATTTGCTTTCCCGAAATCGGAACTTTTCTCTATTGTGACAACGTGGTTGCAATAGTGATCGGAAAGCTAGCAACTGTCTGTGCATTCTTGCTCGTGTCCTTCCCACAAACAAATCAAGTGGCTGGACCTCGTCCCAACGGATGAAAAATGCACACTGAACGTAGCTCATCGCCATGGGCCATGCGCTATCGTCGAAACCACGAATTTCACCCTGCATTTGCTGTGTTATGAAGGCGTAAAGAGCCGTACATTAAACGCATGTTTTGCTCCTAACTTTGAGAGTTGGCACAAGGGGCAAAGCGGAAGTTGCTCCGGCGAACAACCCCTTGAGATGCGGAGCACACAAACCCCTGCATCAACAAGACTGGAGTACAGCACTTCTGTACGAAACTCCAGGGTGGAAAGCAAAAATACTTAGCACCAGATGCGTAAACGACGACATAGCAAGAAAAAGGTAATTCGTTATCCTGGAACATGGATTGGAGCACACATTATGGGAAAGTCTTCTGCGATACGGACTTCGTTCATCCGGGCGTGAAACCTGAACGCTGATTCTTCGCCCCGGACACTGGAACTCTTCATCTGCTTCCTTCACACAAATACAGAACGTGTGTTCCGAGCATTACTTCCCATACCTGTAATTGTTACATGACTTCCCCGAGAGCAATACATAGAAACGCTCTATACTGCCGACAAGTCCCCCGAGCCATTCCCCGCTGCTGCTGAACGTTGTCATTTGTCAGCCTACGTGATACAATGGCTTGTCGTACAGGACAGGCAGCATGCGGAGCACATAATATGAATAGTCGTTTCTTGCTGAAACGGCAACATCGCAGCTTCCAAGCGGTACTCTGTTGCAAACTCATAATAAGGTTGCAAGCACAGAATGCAACTGTATTCCTCATCAACCACTGGCATTTCTTTCCCGCAGTGAGGAAAGGCAAGCAACGCACCGATCCTAAACAGGAGGCGCATAAAAAATCCGCGCCGTAAGGCGTGACGACACCCTTAAACCCAAGAGCCTTAACGTCTTCACGGCAATTTTTCAATTGATAAACACGATAGCAAAGTAACCCTTCGCTTCTTGCACTCGCGCATTGGCTTGCATTATACAAAAACGGCTGCAGCGTGAGGACCTTCATGCCGGCGTGCCTGCCGACGCTGGGTGCCAGAGCATCTGCCTACCGCCAGCTCCTGAATTCCTTTGGAATGGCCACTGACAGCTGAAACGACCATTGCCTGTGCTCCACAGCACCGGCAGTCAGGCGATACATGAGCATAGTATCGCCTCAACCAGCCCTCCTTCGCAAATCCACCCTGTTGCAACTACCAAACAAAACACATAAAACAGGTGTTTATTGGGCTGCGCAACCCCACGAACCACCGTTGCCTACACAGTTCGCCAAATATCGGGCCGGCAAGATCTGCTGCTCCTTTGCGATAGAGCATCAGCCCAGGCTCGCTGAAATCCCCTGCGTTGCATGTGATGCAACGCGAGACCCCACAAACTCAGTAATACGAAGACCAGAGCACTGAGTGCAGTGTCTGTACAACCACAAATTAAAACTCGGCGAAGACCGCCAGTCAATTCCGTGCAATTTCTGCGGTCATGCAGCCAGCCTCGCCATTTTCCAAAGAGCCATCATGTGGGGGTAGTTCGACTCTGCTGTTTCATCGGGCGGTTGGGATGCCTCAAACACACCGAACTCCGCTGTGGGTGACTCGCAATCATTGCCCTTAAAGCTCTTTCGAGTCCCCGCCTCAGGCGATTCATTTTCCTGTATAAGTTTTAACAGGGAAACGAAACACGACATCAGCCGCTTGTTGTCTTCGACGTCTTGCAGCAAATCATTCCCACTTGTCAGATCCTGCAAGCCCTTCAGATACACTGCGTCCTCTTCACCTGCTTTAAGAATTTCGTCGACTTTGCACCAGCTCTCCTCAGTCCATCCGGCCGCGGGCCACTGACAAAGCGAGTCTTCATCCCTTTTGAAGTGGGGTAGCGGCGAATCCTCACTCCCCTTGCGGCGAGGCGCGACGGACTCCAGATCTTGTTTCGTGCACGACCAGTTGCTCCCTGTTGCTGTGAAGTCCAAAGAAAAACATGTAGATGACAAGCTCGCGTCCCCGCCGTTGCCGCGGCTGTACATATTGCCTTCTTGTTCAGCTGCTCCTGCCTTCAGGTCTTCGATAGTCATCTGCTTTCGGACAAGCAACAAGTCAACCAGAGCACAGTGCAGTGCAATGAGTTTCCCGCAACGCACACACATACAGAGCACCATGGCACAGAGGAAAAAACAAACTTCATAAACGCGCTGACGCACATTCAGTAGCGACCCTGAAGTGGCAAATGCGCTTGAGCTCACATTTGCTGAGACGCTCCTGTGGGCGCTTCCAGGCGTGCTCCACGAAGCTCTGGAGCACTCCAACCCATCTGAATCATCAGTAGGCAAGCGCACGCCGCCCTCTAGCCAAAAGTTATTGCTCGAGCGCCACACATGCATTGGACCGGCCTTGCAGTCACCGAAAGTCTCTCCCAGCTGCGTACTGTCCCCTGGGACAAACTCTTCGCAGCCTGTAAACAGATTGGCTTGCGGCGAAGATGAACCCGATGGATTCGCATACTGAAGAGGTAGGAGACTTGGCCGAGTTGGGAATGTTCCAATCGGATCTGTCGGCTTCTCTCCTAAGGAAGGTAAACCCCAACTTTCTACGCTGTTCGCGTCAATCTGATCTTTCAGACTTCCAAAAGAAGGGCTACCTATGGGGTCTACATTGCCCGCCAGCAACGTCTGCCTTCTCAGCGGGAGCTCTTCTACAGTCTCCTCAATTGGTATTCCTTGGCGCAAAAGAAAGTTCTGCCCTTCCTTCTTCGCAGCATGCTTAGCCGCACTTTTCAGGTTATTTCTAGCATCCTTCCCCTGAGGCTGTGCAGGACACCCTCGAGGGGGACGGACATCTTCAGGGTCCACCTTCCCCTCGATAAGATTCAGCAAGCTGCTAAGAGGGGGCCAGGCGCCCATGGCATCATCGGTAAAATGCAGAGGAGGCAGCGTAGCAGCTTTAGGCATGCAATCTGAAGTCCACGCCGCATCTGCTGGAGCGCACTCAGCAAGGTGCCTCACAACACCGTGGAGTAGTAGGCCTACGTTCTCATGATGAGCGCTGTTGCCGAGAGAAGCAACTGAACCTCCGCTGCTCTCCAAAACTGCAGGAGGACTTGCGGGTGGCAACCGCGGCCTTCGCCGTCTTCCGTTCTTGTTGGGCAATAGTTCGACTAGACTTACTCCAGGGTAGTTCACCGGCACTGAGGACAATGACATTACACCTGACACAAAGAGCCACGTATTTGCCCACTTTGTATCTCCCCCGCCCAAGCCATCAACTACAGGCCAAGCCCTATTTTGCACCTCTCCGGCCCTAGCCGTCAACTGTAGGCCAACCAAGCAAGGATGCAAAGATTTACAACTGACCGTTTAGCCCCTTCACAACTCCGAGGGAGAAATGCCGCGCGGACTGCCTCCGCTCCTTTTCGCCGTGACTCTTCCAGCAGTAGTAGACTCGGCACGAGCGCTGGGCAAATGCCTTACATGGCTCTGTCTGGGTACAAAACAAAAGTGTGACTAGGCAGACTCAACTGTTAGATAAAAACAAGTCTACGATACTCGCATGGACCCTGAAGCGGAGAAAGCACTCTGCCACAGGCAAGCTGGGCCAGACACACACAAGTCCCCACCCCATTGCTAAATAAATCAATGTGCCGCGCACACAGCAGCCCAAAGAAGCTTAAATGAACGCACCTTATATACGAGGGGATGGTAGACAATTTCCTCCGGTGAGTGGGAGAAGGGGCAGTTGACACCTCTGGGACACTTGACCTTCACTACCTTCCCGTTTTCTATTTGTAAGTTCTCGCACGGCACCGGCAGGTAGCGCAGCAACGGTTCTCTTTGGCTAACCTCTGAGCGCTCCTGACGCTGGCCAGGAGAGGCATAGTAGGGCGACCTACGTGTCCAGACTTGGCTGTGCGAGTACTGGCAGCGGCTGCAGCAAGACCCAGCATCATGAACACCGATTCAGGCTTGCAACAAGCACACTAAGCACTAGGAAACATTTCTGTGAAGCAACAAGGACAAAAGCTAACGAAGACAGGCCTCTTAAGGGTGCCGCTGAAACAGCACTCTAGACACTGTGCCTTGCGAGTATCGAGAGGCGGGTTCGAGAAGAGGGTGACCAAACTCACTCGTCCCCAAAGCTGCATGAGCCCTGAGAGAGACGGAGGCACGCTTTCGTCCTGAAGCGCAGTATATTGTCATCCGTAAGCAGGGAGGCGCACGCCATTGTGTCTGGTGAGCTGCAGCGGCTGGGGCGTCGACTCCACTTTGAATGCCTTCCACGAGCTTCACTGCGCTACTATTCCGTCGAAATGTAAACAAAATATCGATGCGTGGAGCCTGTCTCCGCAGTGCGCCTTACGGCTATCGGTTTCGACGCGGCTCAAGGTCACTGAGCGCCAGCACTTCGTCGGGCACTCCAGGTAAGTCTAGATGTCTGGAGGAGGACTACAGGCTCCGCTCAGACAGGACAGATGGTAATACGAAGAACCCCGCAAAACCTGGGAAGAGAAGAGGTACGCCGGAGCAGACTAAGCCCTCTAGCTACCACGGCGAGTCACTGGCTCCCTCAGATGAAAGCAAAGAGAAGTAGGGAGGATGAATTGACGAGGTTCATGTAGAGAAAAATAAGAACGACTCAAACTGAACAGAGTCCAAATGAAACCCATTAAAGTCCGACAACCCGGCAACCCACGACAGCCGGTTCAGCAGTGGGGTGGCGGGTGCAGTGGCAGGCGGGTGGCAGGCGCCTAGGGTCGGGACAGATGCAAGAAAAAAACGTTATGACCGAACTCAAGCAGCTCTCAAGTTTCTAAATCCTTCCTTTGGGTGGGTTATCCAAGAAAACAAGAAAAATAAGGCTTCAGTAGCTTCCCTGATGCCTCCCGTGTCTGCCGTACTAGCCAGCCGCCGGTCTCGATGGCTCTGGTTGGTTTCGCTACGTCTTTGAGGCTTCCGCAGCGAATTCCTTCGCCTCTTGGCATTACCAGTGCCGTATACTGCAATTACACTTATCCGAAAGCATAGAGGAAGACAGAGATGCCCACCCCACGTACCTGCGATCTGTGAGCTTCGTGGGCTAGCCAAGACAGCCGCTGGCAGGGTAGCGGATGACGATGTATGGGGAGCTCTACTGAAAAAAGAGGCCACGTGGCAGTAAAGAACAAAAGCTCAAACCTATGTGGCATCACAGTTCACCTTTTTGCTATATGTTGTGGACTGAAACAGCTGCTGCTTCGCACCCGCAGCGGCGAGACCAGCGAGCAGCCACTGAATGGGGGGCAGCGAACGGGGGGGAGGGGGGAGGGTCGTCTGGGCCTGAATCAGCTTGCAGACAAATTCAGCTAGATCATTTTAAGACTATTGGCGGTTATCCTTATTATTACTAACAAGACAAGTGTTTCATGCCAGGTATCTTACGTTCAACAGCGGCTGCTTGCCATCTCCTGTCTTGTTTAGTGCGCCGCCCACACACTCGCCAATGCTTTCGGGTTACGTCTGCGCGCCCGTGCAGTTCCCGGCAGGTAACTCCTTCAGACTAGGAACTCAGGCATTAAGTGTAAGATATAGTTAGAACAGTTTCTATACTTATAGCTGAGTCAGAGCGAACAAGCTGTTTACATGGCTTTACGCCCCAACAAGCTGTTCGCTAGCCCGCACCAGCAACAGCGGGCAACACAAGCAAGCCCGTTTGAGCCCTACCCCCACCGTTAGTGGCACGAAGTGTCTGCCGCAGGCTCCTTCGAGACTGCCGTAACGCTTCGTATTTCTGGGAAAGTGGAGAGCTACAGCTTGGGCCGATGCTGCTGCAAACAGCCGCACTCGAATCACTCGAATCTGGAAAGCCCGGTGGTACTGTATAGACTCGTGCGGCTGCAGGTCAGGAGGGTTACCCAAAACTGCTACGGAACCAGGGAATCCTAAACTTTGTGTTCCATTTTGAAAGCTACGTCGTGTGCAGTTCAGTGACCTACATAGACTGCCAATATTTTCCTAAAACGAGTCAGTTCAGCTTTTGGGCTTCCCGCGAGTAGCTGAGCAATTAGTGGGGATGTACGCTGCTCTAGACCGCAGCATTATTGGAAATGTAGCTTCCCATGCCGACGCTGCAGGCAGTGCCGTGTGCTGGCCACCTCTACCGGGCTGTTTGCCTAGCTCTGTAGGTTGGTCCTGCTAGTTCTTCGCTTCCTGATTCCATCAGTGATTATGAACGGCTGAAAGTGATTTCACTAACTTGCTGGCTACTTTAAGGAGAGATTGCTTTCTGTGCAGACAGCAGAAGCGCAAAGCGTTGGGCGTTGTCAATAGATGGCAGCTATTGCTACTTAGCCGCCCACTGGTTTGTCCAGTAGATCTATTCAAAGGCCCCTCACGGCAGTGACAGGCCTGTTACGTCCATCTAAATATAAAGTGCACACGGTGCTGAGTAACAGGGTCGGTTAATGCCGCAGGAGACGTCCTGATACTGCCGGCTCCGACCCTGCCAAGTGCACTTAACGGCAGCAACACGCCTACACGCATAACTCTCGTGAAGGGCCGAAGCCTACAACAGACTGCAGTATTGATGCGTGGGCCGCGGCACTCCCTGCCACTATTGTAGCGGCTCAACATATGGCTTTATGAGAAGGACAGGGGCGCATTGTGGTATCAATTGACCAGCAAAAGGTGTGTTCGCAGAACTTCAAGGGACACTACGTTTAATAGATGCTGTGCGGAGTTGGGTGGCGGTGAGGGGCGCCACGTTGCCGCAGGTAGGGCAGCGGACTTTCCAGATGGGGGAGCCGGTGGAAGGATCCGACCCTACAAAGTTATTGATGTGCACCTTCGACTGCATCGAGGCTGTGCGCAGACACTGCCGGCAAATGAGACAGCCACAACGCCGGAATGGGCGAATATCGCTCTTCACTGTCGACCGCCCACAACAGGGAGCCGTTATAAATGACTCCGCATTTTGTATCGGCGTTTTCCCTCCACGTGCCCCAGCGCCTGGCAAACAGCAAAAGCAACGGCACAAATATATTCACATGCGTGCATGCACCCCGCAGTTGCACATGAGCACACGTGCGCACAAGCAACAAAACAAGCACACCTAATTTGTGCTGCTGAATCAGCACCCCTTCTTTCCGCCGTAATACGTGAGGAGAGCGTACGGAAGGCACACTGGGCAAATGCTGCTAAACAGCGCGGGAAAAGTTATTTGATTCCCGGGAAATCACTCAGTAGACGCGGCTAAAGTTGCAGTCAGCAGCTCTCTCGACATCTGCGAGACATAGGCATCACTACTTCTAGAAAGCGCGGGCAGTTTACCTTGCTTGGTCGGCGCCGCTTGCTCTGGTTCTTTGGCTGTGGACTCAGAGGGCGAAGCACTTTGCGAGGAGCTGCTGCTCTCCCGCGAAGACGGCTGAGACAGAGGACGGACACGAGTCCCTTGAGGAGGTTCTGGGGACTCGGCGGCCTCTTCGGGCTCCGACTCGGGGACTTCCACAGGTGAGACTTTGCGCGATTCATGTTGCGAGTCATCAACCGAGGGTCCTCGCGACGCTGGGCCGGAAGCATCGCTTTCTTGCTTCTGCTCCTGGTCCCGACTTTGCCTGCTGAGGCTGCTGAACAAACTATAAGGAAAGAGAGAGGACTGGCGGCTAGTCTCTTGAGCCGGTGGCGAAGTGGGGGGTGCGGAGGGCTCTTGCTGGCCCTCCGCAAAAAGGTCTGCGGGCAGAATGAAGGTGCTGGGCCTGCGGTTCTCCCCCTTGGGCTCTTTGAACAGATACGCGGGAACCGGCACGGTGGGTCTTCTCTCAGTGTTTTCCGCCCTGGCCTGGGCCTTGCGGAGAGCCTCTTCATCAAATACGTGGGCGGGCAGAACAGTTGTGGGGCGGCGAGGTGATGCAGCTGCAACTTTCCTCTGCCTTGCCCTCTCAGCAGCAGCTTCGTCAAACAAGTAAGCAGGAACAGCCACAGTCTGCCTCCTCCCGTCTGTGTCTGCCCTCTTCTGAGACTTCAGCATGGCGTCTTCGTCGAATACGTACCGCGGCAGTGCAACTGTGGGCCGCCTGGTGGCAGCTGCCTCAGAGCGCTGCGCCGCCTTTTGCATTGCTTCTTCGTCAAACAAGTGCACAGGCACCAAGACTGTCCGTCGCCTCGGAGGTTGTTCATCTCCCGACATATCCGGGGACTCAGGAAGCTCGACAAAGACGTAAGGCGGAATCAACTGCGTGTCGCGGCGTCTGTGCTCTTCCGCTGCCTCCTCTGCGCCGTGAGGAAAGGCGAAGGACTCCGCCGGGGCACGGGCGCGGCGGGGGGGCCAACTTCTGCAAGACAAGGACACTAGCAGCAAATAAATGCGTTGCCTGCTGACGCAGCCCTCAGGCAGCTACACACACAGCTGCGAAATGCACGGGGAAGTGGCCGCAACTGCTTGAGGGGGGGAGAGCCACCGCAGCTGGGAGGCGACAAACTAGGGATCAACAGCAATCTTTGCAGCTAAATATCCTCCATCTACGGGTGTAAAGCATGCAGCCAGTTCCCTCTACTGAGTTTCGTGAATATCTACAGCTTTGCCAGTAGTGAACTCAGCAAAGGAGGCCTCAAATACTGCACGGGTTTGTCAACAAGAAGTGAGGGGTGGGGGCCTCACAGCGTTGGCGCAGCCTTCTCCATTTCGAAGACCTTGTCCACCAAAGCAGCAACGCGCATTTCCAGGCCTTTCCGCTGCGCAGTCAAACATACGAAGATGCCTCAGTCCACAGCTTGGCTGCATGAACCCGCAGGTGCCACTCACTTTGCCAATCAGCTCAAACAAAGGAAAACTGCAGGCCTTAGTGGCTCCTGCATTCAACGCAGGGGAGCTGATCAAGAACTTACCCGCCCCTGGTAGAACAGCCGAGCTCGCTCGGCCTTGAGGTGGTCGTCTACCACCTGAAATACACAAAGACAGAAACAAAGTTGGACTTTCAAATATTGCCCCGCCATTTACTCTTGCAACCCCGCACTCCCCTCTCTGCTGTTTCCTCTGGTTGGTCTAGACCTCCCATTGGGCTGCACTGGTGAAACACTACGCTCCCCTATGGGCTGCGGGGTGTGCTTGTGGCTGGCAGTTTCTTATTCAAGTGCGTGTTATTTTGCGCAGAATGGGTCTTGCCTCTTTCATGGCCAATTCGTATTTCCTTTGGAGTTGGTCAACCCGCAGCGACGCCCTCAGCACAACTTGCCGGACCTGCAGTCAGCGCACTCCAATCCAAGTGCACTCAACTGACTTCCCCGAGTGGTGCTGCTGCTGTTGTGGTGGTGATGCTGCTGCTGTTGTGGTGTCGGTGCTGCTGCTGGTGTTGTTGTTGTGTCGGTGCTGCTGCTGGTGTTGTTGTTGTGTCGGTGCTGCTGCTGCTGCTGCAGCTGCTCATGGTGGTGGTGGTGGTGCTGCTGTTGCTGCTGTTGGTGGTGGTGGTATTGCTGCTGCTGCACCTGTGCAGCAAATGTTCAGCTTTGGCCCCACAGTGCTGCGCCTCGGGGCTGGCCTACCTTTTCTATGAGCAGGCGCTTCTTTTCAGTGACTTGCAGGATCTCCAAATTGAGTTGTTCGCAGCGGGCCTGGGCGGCCTTGAGTTCTGCGCGCAGCGCCGCCCTTTCCTCTGCAAGGGCTTCGCACTTCACGCAGGAGTTCTGAGACCTCAGAGTCCTTCCAAGTCCGCTGGACAATTTGGAAGCTGCGCGTTCCTCCTTGGGGGAAAAGGTGCGGCTCAGCCGTTTTCGGAGTCTTTGGAAAGAACTTTCTTTCGAAGGCGGCTTCGAGATGGCCATTACCCCAGTGAGGGATTTCGTGTCGGCCTTTTCTGGAGGCTCGCGTGGCTGCCGTTCTGCATTTCTGTCTTCGTCGGAGAGCAGCGAGCGAACGGCTCTGGGCTCGGGAGGCTCTTCTGTGGCTTCTCCGTCTTCTTTAGAAGCAGCAGCAGCATCAGTGGTGCCCTCCCGCGTCTCCTGCGGGGTATCCCTGGGGCCCCACTGGCCATCTTTCTCCGAAGTGGCATCTTGTGGGGACCCGGCGGCTGTGGGGGTCCTGGAGGCTGCGGCCTCAGCCTCTTTAGGGGGGGCCCCCCGCGAGCGAGCAGAGGGCTGCCTACGGAATGCCCGGGGCCCCGGGGCCCCTGACTGCGACGGCGACGCAGGCCGGGCTGCCTCCCCAGAGTCCTCGTGCTGCAGGGGGCCCCCGGGGGGCCCCTCGCTGCTGCTGAGGGCCCGGGGCGAGCCAGAGGCCTGCTGCAGCTCCGAAGGGCGCTCAGTGAGGCCCGAGGGCGCCTCCTGGAGCTGCTGCCGGGTTTGGCTCGGCAGGCGGCGCAGCTGGTCTTCAAGTTCTGCTGCTTTGCGCTCAGCCTCTTCAACTTTTTGCTGCAGTTCTTCTCTTTCCCTCTTCAGCTCCGACACTTCCCGCCGAAGCGCCTCCAGGTCCTGAGGGGCCTCTTCCTCCAGGTCTGGAGGGGCCTCTTCCTCCAGGTCTGGAGGGGCCTCTTCCTCCTCGTCCTGGGGGGCCCCCGGGGCCCCCCCTTCCTCTGGGTCTTGTGGGGCTTCGGCTTCTGCTGGCTGCTCCGCCTCTTCTCCTGCGTCTTCTGCGGGGGGCTGTTCAGCAGCACAACACAAGACAGAGAAAAGGACAATGAGCCTTGCACAGGGGCCTCGGGCTGGGGGCCAGGCTAGGGCTTTTCGCAACTGCAGCCACGCCAAAGAAGGGCTGGGGGCCCCTCACGCACTTCAACGGGACTCTCCGGCTTCTCGGCGGCCTCTTCCTGAAGAATAAAAATGCAAAAGGAAAGGCAGAGGCGTCTCGCGCGGCCAGTCGTGAGGTGTACGTACACCGCAGGGCCGTCGGGTTCTCCCTCACCTTCTTTTCCGGAGGCTTCGCAGCCGACTTCTTCCCGAAACACCTGAAGTTAAGCGAAACGTGAATTGTGGTAGAGACAAATTAGTTTCAAAAAATAGTCTTTGAGCTGAATAATTATAACTTCGGACCAGAGAAAGGCAACAGATAGGGACAATTTAGGCATCGGACAGCTGAAGCTGAAAGGCGAAGCAGCAGCAGCAGCAGCAGCAGCAGCAGCAGCAGCAAGAAAAGCAGCGATAGCTACGGCAGCAACAGCAGCATGTGCTGCACGTAGAAAGAAACCAAGCAGCAGATAGAGCCACACCAAAGCAAGTTTCTGACAGAAGAGAAGAACTGAGACTTCGAAAAGGAGAAAACGAAGCAAACAAAACTTTCGGCAGACAAGTGCAGCAGCAGAAAGCAAACAAGAAGAAGCAGCCAGAGTGGGGCGAAGTGGCAGAAGAAGATAAAACAAAAGGCAGAAGCAAGAGAAGAGAAACGCGCAGAGAACAGAAAGGCTGGGGGATTCCGCCGAGCAGCAAAGGCAGCAAGAAGGGGGCCACGAAAGCTGCTGCTGCTGCAGAGGCGCAGCAGCAAAACAGCAGCACGGAGGCAGCTGCAGCGCGACAGAGAAAAGGAAAAAGAGAACTCACGACATCTCCGGGCCGCCAAGACTGAGGCCTGCAGCAGCTGAGGGAAGGCAAATGAAGTGGCAAAGCCCTCAGCCTCGAACTGGCAGCTCGGAGTGCTGCACTGAGGCCATGGAGAGCTGCTGCAGGCCCTCGGGCTGCTGCCTTTGCTGCCCGCAGCCACTGGGGGGCCCCGCGGGGCCCCTGAGACAGACTCTACAGAGGCAGTCCAGCTTGTCGCCTCTTCAGAGGGCCTCGGGGGCCCCCAGGGGCTCCCCCGGGAAGAGGGGGCTCGGGGCAAAGAAGGCCAGAGGGCTTCTGGAGGCGCTGCTGCTGCAGCAGATCTGCGTCGCTCTCCGCTGCGAATAGGCAGCTGGAGTTCAGACTCAAATATGAAACGGGCTGGAGCCTTACAAATAAGCTAACGCAGGCCACTGGCCACGGGCGGGGTCCAGTGTTGCTGCCGATCTCTGCTGCTGCTGCTGCTGCTGCTGCGGTGTCGATTTGAGGCGTTTGCTGCTGCGCGGCGCTCGGCGCAGCCAGGCGCTGCAGAGTTGGACAAAAAAACCTTTTAAACCTCTAGATAAAGTGTTTAAGGAAGCTGTGAGACGCGCAAACACTCGAAAGACGCCCCTCTGGACTGCAGTCGCGGGCGCTGAGCCGACGCGGCAGAGCTGGTTGAGGCTCGACAGACCAGAGGCCAGTTGGCGCCGCCAGAGCTGCTCCTCGGGGGGAAATACTTTCCTAGTCTTTCAAATTCATTGAAAATAAAGTAAAATGAATGGCTGTTACGGCATAAAAGGGTTTTTATCTGGGGAAGGCCTCTTCTGAACGCAGCATTCGTCGGCGGCTGCAGCAGCAGCAGCAGCAGCTGTGCCACGCGCCGTCGCCACAGCGGCCAAACCACGCAACGCGGCCTTCTCCCCTAATTTTTAAAACTCTTTCCGACTTTAACTGTTTATTAGTTAGACCTAGGCTGTCCGTGGGGCCCCGGGGGCCCTTAAAAGGCACTTTGCTGCCAGTCTGCTGCCTGGGGAGCTGGGCCACAAAGGGAGAAACGCCTGCAGCTAAGCCCCTTGCCTTCGCCTCTCCCCCCCTTAGCCTGTCTCGCTGTCTCTCCGGCCTGCTGCTCTGTCACCTGCTGCCTCGAGGGGCAGCGCTGCAGGCTGCTGCGCTGCTGCTGCCCTCAGCAGCAAAAGAGTGCAGCGCACATTACATTTGCTGCAGGCTGCACCAGCCAGAGGCTGCTGCAGTCCACAGGGGATTTAGTGCTGCTGATAGCTGGCAGCAGCAGGACTCCTGCGAGCAGCTGTAAACAGATTTCCCTTCCTCTAGCTCTGTCTCATTTTGCTTCCTTAGATTTGCTGCAGCGAGCGTTTGTAGTGGCTGCGCAGCGCAGTGTACGTACACCCGAGCCGGGGCAGCTGCGCCCCGCAGCCAGCAGCAACAAAGGCTTCAGGCAGCAGACTGCAGCACAATGCATGCAGAAGAGCGAATTTGAACTTGAATAAAGGCTTTTTGGGGCTTTACTCGAGCACACAAAGCCTAACTCAGTATCTTTTCACTAGTTCTCCAGGCCTCGCCAGGCTGAGTCTACGCAGAAAAGAGTCCTGAAGGTCCTCAAGGGGCCCCCAAGGTCCCATGGGGGGCCCCTTTGGGGCCCCTTTGGGGCCCCCAAGGGGCCCTCAAGGGGTCCTTATGGGGCCCCCAAGAGACGCTCTGGGGGCCCCTGGCCCACAGAGCATCTCCCTGTATTGCTGTACCCCACCTGTGCAGCACAGCGCCCGACAAACAGGGAGGGCCTCCACTTTTAAAGGCCCCCAGGGCCATTAAATGCAGCAGCCTTTGGGGGCCCTTGCTGCAGGGTAGGGGGCCCCCTGCAGCTCCCCTAGGGGAACAGAGGCCCCCTAGAAGGGCCCCTGCAGCGCCCCTAGGGGAGCAGGGGCCCCCTAGGGGGCCCCCCTGCAGCGCCCGTGGGGCACCAGGGGGCCCCTTAGGGGGCCCCCTAGGGGCCCCCCCTGCAGCGCCCGTGGGGCACCAGGGGGCCCCTTAGGGGGCCCCCTCAGGGTCACTGGACCCCCCGTGGTGCTGCGCTGGGAAAGGCTCTTTAACTTGCTGCCTCTTTGGGGGCCCTGGGGTCTTTACAGAGGGGCTTAAATGGCCACAGCACTGCAGCAGCGCTGCAGCACGATTTACCTGTAGACTTTTCTCTACTGTTTCTGCGGCAGCAACTGAAGAGCAGCAGCAGCAACAGCAGCAGCACTAGCAGCATTAGCAGCAGCATTGGCAGCAGCAACAGCACCCTCAGCAGCATCAGCATTAGCAGCAGCATTGGCAGTAGCAACAGCAACCTCAGCAGCATCAGCAGTATTAGCAGCAGCAGCATTGGCAGCAGCAGCATTGGCAGCAGCAGCATTGGCAGCAGCAATAGCAGGAGCAGCAGCAGCAAGAAGAGGCCTGCAAGGCGGCCAGTGCGTGTGCTGCCAGCCAGGCAGCAAACAGCTTAAGATTAAAAGAACAAAAGTTTCGTTGCTGCCTCGGGGGGCCCCCCTGGCTGTGGGCCGGCCAGCAGGCGAGAGAGGGGGGCCCCCGGCAAGCGTGGTAAGAAGCAAACAGTAAGAAGCAAGCAGGGGGACGGGGAGGTGGCTGCGTCTGTGCTGCAGGCCTGCTGCTCCGTCACAGGCACGCTGCTGCTGCTGCAGTTCGCGCTGCTCCGTCGGCTCTCTCTCTGCTGCTTCCTATGTGTCTGAAATCTGGGCAACAGGCCCGAGGCCGCCAACGGCACCTTCTCCTGCTCGAGCCCCCGCGGCAGCAGCAGCAGCAGCTGCTGCTGCTGCTGCTGCTGCTGCTCCACGGTCTCTTTCATCGTGGAGCACAACGGTTTTGGCAGACGCAACTGTCAAGGCTGCGGTGACTGCGCTGCTGCTGCTGCTGCTGCTGCTGCGGCTGCTGCGGCTGCCTGAGAGCAGCCTCTGCTCGGCACTGGCCTGCTGCTGCACCGGGCGCGCAGTCTTGGGGGCCCCCCCCAGCCAGTTCTGGGCTACAGTACCCAGCCAGGGTATAGCGCGGGGCCCCTCGGGGGCCCTCCTGGGGTGCGCGTACCTGCTGGGGGCTGCAGCAGCTGCGCTGCGGGTGTCGGGGGGCCCCCCTTGGGGGCCCCTGGCCTGCGCTGCAGCAGCTGCTTCGCGCTGCCTGGCTTGCTTGGGGGCCTCCCGCTGGCCGCGGGCAAAGGCACTGGCTGTTGGCTGCTGGGGGCCCCTCCTGCTGCACCCTGGGGGGCCCCCGGGGGCCCCCATGCGGGCCTCCAGCTCCAGCAGCTGCTGAATGAAGCCCACGTTGGGTCTGGCTATGGGGCGGTTGCGGCGAACTGCCAAGTAAGAAGAACGGAAAGTGTGGCCCTCATAAATGATTAAATAGGCCTGTGCAGCAGCAGCAGCAAGGCAAAAGAAGTACAAAAAGGGATTAAAAGAAGCAAAAAACCAAAAAAATAATTAAAAAATAAAATAATTAATCAAAAACTGCTGCTGCAACTCACCATACAAACTGCCACAGAACGCGATATGCCCTTCTCGCAGTGTACGAACACGTTGCAACCTCTGCAGCACACACAGAAGCAGCAGCCCGAGCCAGATTAGCCAGCAGCAGCAGCAGCAGCAGCAGCAGCAGCAGCAGCAGCAAGTGCGAGGAGAACGAGGAAACACAAGGCACGAATGCATGCGAGCAGCAGGAGAGCCCAGGGGAAGAGATGCAAGCAGCAGCAAATAAAAAGAAAGCAGCAGCAAATAGAGTTTTATCCCTCGCAGCCAGGAAAAAGATTCTAGCAGCAGCAAATAAAAGGGAAAGCAGCAGCAGCAGCAAATAAAAGAGAAAGCAGCAGCAGCAGCAAATGGAGTTTTGTCTCTTGCAGCCAAAGTAGAGATAAGGGGAAGGTGCAGCAGCGAATGAGACAGCAGAAGCAGCAGCTAGAAGCAACAAGCAGCAGCAGCAGAAGCAGCAATTCGTTTGGGCGTGATAAAAGATTTCAGGAGAAAGTGACTAGGGTCTAGGGCTTCGAACACCAGATTTAGGGTTTAGGGTTTAGGGTTTAGGGTTTAGGGTTTAGGGTTTGGGAGGCTCACCTCAGCAGCGCTTCCCTGACTGCCCCGAGAGACAAGTGGTCGAACTGCATGGCCTGCAGCAGCCAAGAGCAGGCAAACCGCCAGCAGCAATCAACAGCAGCAGCCAGCAGCAGCAGCAGCAGCAGCAGCAGCAGCAGTGAGCACAACTCAGCAGCAGCACCCCTCCGCTCTAGTGAGCCGCAGCACCCAGCAGCCCTCAGCAGCCCTCCCCAGCCGCAGCAGCACCCGCAGCATCTGCAGCAGCAGCACCCGCAGCAGCAGCAGCAGCACCCGCAGCAGCAGCAGCAGCACCCGCAGCAGCAGCACCCGCAGCAGCAGCAGCACCCGCAGCAGCAGCACCCGCAGCAGCAGCAGCACCCGCAGCAGCAGCCGCAGCACCCGCAGCAGCAGCACCCGCAGCAGCAGCAGCAGCACCCGCAGCAGCAGCACCCGCAGCACCCGCAGCAGCAGCAGCAGCAGCAGCAGCAGCAGCAGCAGGGGGACCTGGTTGGGGTCGTCGAGGAGGGGGTGGACGCAGTGGCGGATGGCGAGGGCCCTGTAGAGTTGCTGCTGCTGCTGCGGCCAGGCCCCGAAGGGCCACGCTGCTGTCAGCACCAGCCCGATCTGCAGCGCCTGCAGCAAAGCCCCATCCAGTGCATGCGCCAAAGACCCCACAAAAAGCCTTCCTGGAGTTTTTGTTGCAACAAGTCCGGGGCCCAAAGTGCTGCTGTTAACTCCCACGGGGAGGCCCGCGAGGAAGGCAGCAATTTCCCGCGTTGCTGCAGCAGCAGCGGGGCTGCTGCGGTACAGCCACAGCGCTCGGGGGCCCCCCGCGGGGCCCCCGGGGCCCCCGGGGGCCCCGGGGCCCCCGCAGGGGCCCCCGCAGGGGCCCCCGCCGCAGGGGGGCCCCCCGTGGGGGGGGCCCCCCGAAGCCCCGCAGCCGGGGGGGGCCCCGGGGGCCCCCAGCGGGGGCCCCCCGGGGGGCCCCACGCCCAGCGACTCCCAGCCACAGCCAGCAGCAGCAGCAGCAGCAACTGGCACTCGAGGGTGAGAAGCTCCCGGAACTGAACAAAGAAATGCTGCAGCAGGCAAAGTTCCTGCTGCTAAAGCTGGAGACTTCTGCAGCTCCATGCGGCGGCTGCGGCGAGCCGCCACCAACGGGAACAGCCACATCGTTCTGCTGCTGCTGCTGCTGCTGCTGCTGCTGCTGCTGCTGCTGCTGGTCCTGCTGCTGCTGGTGGGAGGGGGGGATGTATGGCCACACGGCACTCCTGGTGCTGCTGCTCCTTCTCCCGC